TCTGTTCTTACCTTGTTAGATACTATTACTATGAAGCTGTTGTATTTTATCAAATACTTTTTCTGCTTCTATTGAGATTATATGATTCTTTTCCTTTATTCTATTAATGGGGTATATTAAGTGGATTGGTTTTCTAAAGTAATGTTATTTTTAAATATGATCTTTGTCTGTATCTTTATACATTTTCTTAATTTTCCATAAATGTATAAAATAAATTGTTTTTTGTGTTCTGGTTTTTAACTTTTAAAAATTAGAGAAACTTTGACAGTGATAAATTGAATACCGCTGCAGTCCAATCATTGTGACTGATCGATATTTCTGAGTTGTGAGGGGGGAATAAAAGAAGAAAATTAGAAAGGAAAACTAATCCACATCTGTATTGCCTTTTTCTTTAGTTTTTTCTTAGAACTTAGCACAGTATTTAATTATTTTGTCCAAGCATCTGTTTGCATTGTTTTTACAGTAGGATAGGCTCCAGAAGATTCTTTCTTTTCATACTTTACACTTACGAGTGCAGGGCCTGAAACCTAGTAGACGTTTCATGAATACTTGGCAAATGAATAACTTGGAGCTAAGGATTTAGAAGCCTTGGACTTCATATTTAGTTCTGTAAGCGTTAGTATTGATGATTGGTACTGTTGATCATACTAATAATATAAATAAAATTCTGTTTTTGAAGTTTGTTGCCAGGATAGGGAATATTACTGATACTATTCCATAGCTTGGCTTCTTCTTTTGGGGTCCATATGCTCCATCTTCTGCCCTCAGCATGCAACCAATTTTTAAAAATACTTCTACTATGGAAATAGATGTGTGTAGATTTTTGTGTCCATGTGAGGTAGTAGTTATAAATGTGTTTTCTAGATCTTTCTGATGATGGGGTCTAGAAGCAGTGATAACCCAGAAACCATGAGCACTCTAGTGCCAAGATCTTGAATATTTTTTTTAAAATATGGAACGCTTCACGAATTTGCGTGTCATCCTTGCGCAGGGGCCATGCTAATCTTCTCTGTATCATTCCAATTTTAGTATATGTGCTGCCGAAGAGAGCACAAGATCTTGAATTTTTAAGATACCATTCCTAAAATAAAAAGAACAAGAACTTGTTGAAGAAAATGCTAGGTGGGGACAGGAAAAAGATGACCATCCTGTGGTGACAGAAAAGAAGTGGTATAAATTGGTAGATGTATTCACACCCATGTTTATTGCTGCATTATTACAATAGCAGAGAGATGGAGGAAGCCCCAATGCCCATCAACAAATTAATGGATTTAAAAAAAAAGCTATGATACATTCACATAATATTATGCAGCATTGAAAACAAGGAAATCATTCAACAAAGGGAGTGAACAGCCTCAACTACCATGGATTGCCTCTCCCTTGCTCCCTAGAAGACCACCCATCTGGCTAAACCACAATGGAATGTTCCTCGCTTCCCTCCCTAAAGATCCTTACTATAAAACCTCCCCTAATCCACCTTAGGGTATGGTATTTCCCTGGTCTGTCCCTCTGCCTGTTTCTCTCTTTGCAGACCAAGGAATCCCTCCCGGGAGACCCCTTAATAAGGCTTCTTTAGCTTCCTTTAAAAAAAAAACTCTAAGGAAATAATAAAACATTGCACAGCATGGGGGAGCCTGGAGGACATTATGTTTAGTGAAATATCTCGGGCACAAAATACTACATAACACTGTTGTTAAAAATAGGACAGACAGGAGGGAATTGGGGAGAGAATGGAAAAGAGTGGATAGATAATGAACACTGCAGTCGAACAGATGAGGCGAAGAACTGTCAAGGTGAAAGGAATATATGATTAGGTATTATATGTATGACGAAAGTATGGAACAAGGGGTGCATTGTGGAATGGGGTGGGGAAAGATCGGGAAGAAAATATGCAACAATGAATAAATAATAAAAAGTAAAATTGATAGTTGTACATGTCAAAAGTACGTAAGTATCACATTGAAGGAGACTTTGAGCAATAAATACCCATCCGTCCACAGGGATGTAAATAAACAGGTGAGAAGAGACAATTCTTCCTTACAGTAAAATTCTAATGAACAAATATAGAAACAGATCACCTTTACACACATAACTCAATAGTAATTTTTGTAAGCAGGAGTTATCATTAGATTCTAAAAGTAGTGGACTAAAGCATGTTAAGAAGGATAGTTTGTGAAACTTGGCATGTCTTCCCTTAAGTTGCTCATTAATTAGAAAAAGAAAGATAATAGAATTCCAGTGAAGAAACAAATACCACCATAACCAAAGTGATCAAAGTTACCATCATTTAGACATGTATGTACCTCATGGTGTGAACCTAGAGATACAGGATACAGTTGCCCAAAATCCTTTAAGTCCAGTCATGATGCCCTAATAGCATAATGTGTACATAGTTGTACTGCTCCCCAAAGTTGGCACCTCTCTGGCAGTATGAATCCACCATTGATTCTGAGGGAGAAAGATGAGCTGTCTGCTCCCGTGCAGTTTACCACCTCTGAAAACCTGCTCAAGGATCTTCTGTGAGTCATTCCGCCCAGCACTAATCAATTTTGAGAAGTCAAATAATGAAGAATTAGAAAATTCAAAGGACATTATAACAGAATAATGACCCAGTATTCTTCCAAAGTGTCAAAGCCATGAAATGAAAAGGGGGGGAACCAAAATAACAAAACCCGAACCTGAAGAACAGTCCCAGGCTGGAGGAAACTAAGAAGTGTTATTTTCAGTTTCAGTGTTTCTGCTGTATCTACAACATAGAAAAGCTTCCTTTCAGAAATTTTATCTAGAATATAGACTAACGTGAAAGGAAAAAAATTATCAAGTAAAAGAGCTAAACTGATTTTTAAAGGATGCTAAGAGAAGACAGAAAGTATTTTTTAAAATATTTTTTATTTTATATTTTTAAAATTTATTTTTATTGTATTATTTTTACGTGTACTGTCAAATCAGATCTGACTGGTACAGGAGGAGTTTGCCCCCTCCTTCTCCAGCAGAGCATCTGGTGGATTTGAACCGCATACCTCTGGGATTGCAGTGCAGTGTCTTGCCACTAGGCCACCAGAGCTCCCTAAAATATTCTAATAAAATGTACAAAGATCGGGATTTAGGAAAGCAAAAGGAAAGAATAGCATTTTTCAAGCTGAAAGGAATGGAGAACAAATTTAAGCCTTGAATAGCAGTACTGAAGGATCCTGTGGGAAGATACTACTAAATGATGAGGTCATCAGCAAAAAGAAGATAGAAAATACACAGTCGCTGGACCAAAAACCATTGGTGCCAGGAGACAAAGAAGACTGTGCATCAAGAAGGCATCAAGCTTGAACAAAATTGAGACTCTACTAAAGACATAAAAACTAAAGCCCTCAGGCATTGAACTGAGTCCAACTTACAGTGACCCCATAGAAAAGAGTAAAACTGCTCTTATATCAGATTTCCAAGGCTCAAAAACATGGAAGCAAATTGCCTTTCTCTTGCAGAATGGCTGGTGAGTTCAAACCATTATTGTATCACCAGACCTCCTTGGTAAAGATAAAGAAGGAGATAAAATGATAGTAAATAGACTATGGTCTTTTCAATCACTTGCTATGCTGCTGAGAGCTGGACAGGGAACAAGGACGACAGAAGAACTGATGCCTCTGAACTGTGCTGTTAGAAGAGAGTACTGAATGTCCCATTGACTGCTAAAAGAACAAGTAGATACGCCTTGGAGAGGGAGCAACCAGAGTGCTCCTTGGAGGCAAAGAGGTTAAAACTTCATCTCACATACTTTGGGCATGTTGCTAGGAGAAATTTTTTCTTGAAGAAGGACATCCTGCTTCGAAAGGTGGAGGGACAACTAAGGTGAGGAAGACCCTCAACCAGATGGATTGACAGTGACTGCAGCATTGGTCTTGAGTGTGCCAGAGAGTGTGAGGATGGCACAAGATTGGATACGGTTCAGATCTGTTGTTAATAGGGTCTCTCTGGATGACCCTCCAATGGGTTTTCAGTGACAACAAACCTCAGAGGAACAGATTACCCATCTTTTCTTCACAGCGTAGCTTGTAGATGAGAACCACATGCCTTTGAGTTGCAGTGCAACTCCTTACCTCTAAGCCATCAGAGTTTTCCATAAGAAAGCCAGTGTGCATATGTGAAACTAAAATGAGCCATTAGTTTAAGCAATGTGGTGGGAATATAAGGGAAAAAAGGACTCATTTCACCTTGATGTTGAAGGACTTTCTCTTCTAAATGGGCCCAGATGTTGGAGCAGCGCCCATGTAAAACAGGAATTGAGTCAAAGAGAAGAATCCTCTTAGACTGGCATATTGATATAGTCATACTACTCATCAATTTATAGATTATGGATATTGGAAGTGTTAAAATTGACATGTAGCTAATAGTGATATGATAGAGAGTAAGTAATAGAAGTTAAAGGGTAGTGAGAGCCTTTATTTCTTTATTTTAACCTCTTCTTTGAGCTAGGTTTTTAAGTAGTTTCTTTTTACCTTCTTTGGTAATGATCCAGAAAAAATTATGGCTAACTTGTTTGTTAATAATGACACACTAAATTGCATTTCATGAGTACAACATGGAAAACAGAACAATGTTTCAATTTCGAGATGTCAGGAGGACATAAATTCTGCATGGTGAGGCTAGGATGTGCTGATGTGTGGGAAGAATTTGTCATTTTGGGATGCTCTTGGAGAGAGAAGTGTTACTTCTCTGGATGACAGTGTTGAAGAGAGAAGAACAGCACAAATAGGGATTGATAACATCATAAGACAGCTCTAAGTGTTAGAGAAATACTTAGGATCATAGAGAGGAGATAGCACAGTGGGATTGAGTGGGAATGACAGCTCTTTTCTGGGAGGTAATGTCCACTGATCATCATAGTTTCCACATTGATCTCTAGTTGGTTCAGGGTAGGTGATGTTTATCTACTGTAAGAGAGTGTGCCAGTCTGTACTTTGTGAACCTAGCTTGTGCCAAACATTGACTTGCTGCCCTTTTGTTAACAGGCGTGGTGTCTGTCTGTTTTGAGGGAGACAGTGATGGTTACATCAACCTGGTGGCCTATCCTTATGTGGAAAGTGAGACTGTGGAGCAAGATGACACACCAGAGCGGGAGCAGCCGCGGCGCAAACACTCCCGCCGGAGTCTTCACCGGTCGGGCAGTGGCAGTGACCACAAGGAGGAAAAAGCCAGCCTGTCCCTTGAGCCCAGTGAGAGGTAAGGGAGAGGTGAAGTGGTGAGCAGGGTTGGCTCCATGTGTTTGCGCCTCTTGAAACAAGCACTCGGGACATCTCTAGAATTCTGACATACTGTGACAAGTGTGACTCAAGGTCAAGAGAAGATGTCCATCATTCCTGGGCTACCTTCCTGGATGTGGCCAACCCCTTGAGTGCCATATTACCTTAGTGGTTCTTTTTTCTGGACATGAACTCAAGAGAGACTATAAACCCTCTCAACCTTTTGTAAGCATGGATGCCCTGAGCTGGTGATCAGGCCCTACACTAGAAGAGAAGATTGTGTGCATTAATTCTCAGTTCCATTCCAGCTTCTTTCTGACTGCAGGAGAGAACTGAAAGGCAGGGAGAGGTCATCTGCACAAGTTCCTTAACCATTTTGGATATCCAGCCCCTCTTAAGTGTCTAGTACTGCCATGAGCTCTTTCTCTGTTTATAAAATTTTGTTTGTTTTATTGGAAAGTTATTTTTTAATAGATCAGAAAAATAATCTTTACCAAGAATCTTTTTCTTGATACTGTGAATTTCATCTAAGATAGCTATAATCAAAAGGATGAACAATAGCAAGTGTTGACAAAATACAGAAAAATTAAAACCTTCCTACTCTGCTTACGGAAATGTACAATGACATAGCTGCTTTGGAAAGCACTTTAGCAATTCCTTTAAATATTAAACCCAGCATTTTCACTCCTCGATTTAGATCCAAAGAACTGAAAACATTCTCACTTATACACGTTTTAAAATAAGATTTATAGCATTATTTACATTAGCAAAAAAGTAGAAAGATATGATGAATGGATGAATAAAATGTGTTATATCCAAACAATGGAATGACGAGCTGATACATGCTATGGCAAGGATTAACCTTGAAAATGTATTCTGTGGAAGAAGTAAGTCACAAAAGACTACAGGTTGTTTGACTACGTTTATATGAAATATCCATAATGGCAGATCCAAGTCCATAGAGATATAAGATACACTAATAGATGCTAGGGGCTTGGGAAGAGGAAGGAATTAGATGATATTTCGCTTTGGGATGATGAAAATGTTCTGAAATTAGTTCATGGTGATGTTTCATAACCATTAAAGCATACTAAAACCACTGAATTGTAAACAAAACATGAAAGACTACAACCCTTGTTTTACGTTGGATTACATCTCAACCAAAAATCCTTACAACTGGAAATAAGCAGCAGCATCATAAATAGAGAAAAGTTTGATGTCATAAATTTCATTTTGATTAGAGTTGTATTAACACCCAGGGAGACAGCAGTTAAAAATAATTGAGATATTACATTAGGAAAATCTGCTACAAAAGATCTCTTTAAAACATTACGAAGCAAAGATGATCATTGAGGTCTAAGGTGCACCTGATCCCAATCCGTGTTCCTTTTGATCCAAGCACCTCATATGTCCGTGAACTCCAGACAGTGTGGGGGAAAGGGAAATGGAAGAATTGGTGCGTGCCTTTAATTACGGTGTTGGAAAGAACCCTGTGCTGACTGTACCTATGGTGGACTTCAGAAGAGTGAGCACATCTGTCTGGAGGGAAGTACAGCCAGCATATTCCTTAGAAGTGAGAATGGTGAGATTTCAATGCACATGCTTTGGAGATGTTATCAGGAGAGATTAGTCCAAGAGCAGTCGTGGCTCTGTCATCTCTCTCCAGCTCATTCCAGTGTCAGGAAAAGGATGGCGTTTGCCATGGCTGCAGTGCTCTTAGCCACAGACTTTCAGGATGCAGGACTTCAACCAGTGCTGTGAGGGCGAGGGGTAGGTTTGATTTGGGGTATTTTATTTTGTTTTGTTTGTTAGTTTTTTGCTTGCCATTGTGATCAGCAGTGTTGAAAGTTCAAGCAAAATGAAATTATAGCAAAATTTAGTATTTTCCTTATGAATCACTTTCTCACCATAATCCCTTTTGGTCTTACATGTAAAATTCCCCTGTTGAAATGGTGTCATGCTTTCCACCAGTGGCAACCTTGTCCAGTGAGAAACACTAGAACCTCTGGGGCCTGCTCAGGGCTGACTCTGTCCTGCTGTTTTGTTTATTTCCAATTATTCTAAGTGTGGTGGTGAATACAAACAGTTGTATCTATAAGCTAAGGTCAGTATATGTTTTCTTTAAACTTTATTAAAGGAAGCTGTTCTCAGTGTTGTGAACAAAGAGGAGATGAGATAGTTATTGATGCCCTGACATTTGCCCTTCCCGGCCTCCACCCAGTGCTTGTTTGCTGTGAAACTGCATCACCTTTACCACAAAATTTGGCAAAAGAACAGCTTTTCAGAGACAAGCTTCGAAAACACAGGAGGCTTCAACAATGAATGAATGGAAATCCGAAGTCTGTAAATTTTCATTAAAATTAATAATAATAAAATTAAAAAAATAAATTTCAAAGCTGACCCTAAAATGGGGTTTCTGAGGTTGTAAATCCCAAGGAAAGAGATGGTCCATATTTCTCCCTAGAAGTGCTAGTAATTGGCAAATCACTTACCTTTTCTGTGCCTATTTCTTCTTTTGTGCCAGAAAATAATTTATATATTTACTGGGCATTTATTTATAAACAAAGATTTGTGTAAACCATTTAGGGTAAATGACACCAATCATTTAATCTGTCTACAAAAACCAAAAACACTGGAGGAACACTGCTCGTACCATTGACTTGCAGTGATTGTTCTGGCCCCTGTATCCTTTGCATCTAGGTTTGTGGCAGCAGGATCCAGACTTCCTCTGCCCTGTGCAGTAAGACCCCAGAGCAGAGATGACTTGTCTGGGCTAAGGATGGTGATGTGTGTGCTCTTCCTTCTTAGCTCCCAGGAGGCAAAGAGTCCAAAGGTAGAGCTACACAGCCACTCAGATGTCCCCTTCCAGATGCTGGATGGCAACAGTGGTCTGAGCTCTGAGAAGATCAGCCACAACCCCTGGAGCCTGCGCTGCCACAAACAGCAGCTGAGCCGCATGCGCTCTGAGTCCAAGGACCGAAAGCTCTACAGTATCCTTGTTGTTTCTCTCAACATTGTCTGCTTGATACATTTCCTGTGCCAGGCTCCTTCCAGCCTCTCTGGGAAGCCTCTTTTCTTTTCCTCTCCCTTCTTCACAGGCATCTCTTCTAGGTGTGAACTTTCTTCTGACTTTCATCAACATGGATTTGTCTTTTGGGGCTGGCCAAACTGAAGCGTATTATTTAGACCAGTGCGACGCAGCAGCACACTTTGGGGTGATAGAAGGTTCTCTATCTGTGCACTCTGTTTTCTGTCTGTCAAGTATGACAGCCACCAGCCATACTGACCACTCTAATGTGACTACAGTAATCAAGGAATTGACTTTTAAAAATTTTAATTAAAAATGAAATAGCACCATAGAGCCAGTAACTGTCATATTGAGCATGATCAGAATAAAGGGTCTGAGTATGTATCCACGTGTGTTTTTCCCTTTCCAAAAGAAAACCAGTGATTGAAAAAGAATACATTTTCTTTCGGTTGGTGTATTTTGTTTTACTTCTCTAAACACCATCCTTGTACAGCATAAACAGTCTGCAGATGGTAAAGGTAAAAAAGTTTTATGGGAAACTTACAGTATTATTTGGTGTTTTGACGCAGTAGGCAAATGTCACTGAGCCATTGCCAAAAAGTGTGCTGTGCTCTTCATACTCAGCATTTACTCAGTTAATTTTTACAACAATCTTAAGAGGGAGGAATGATGATGATTACTACCATTTTACAGATGAGGAAATGGACACTCAGGTTATGTCGTTTCTAGAGCCAGCGAGTGACCAAGCAGGATTCACAAGCATTCACTCTTCAGGCAGCAGGAGGTATTTTCTCACTGCCTTCAAGTTTTATCATCACTTGTTTCTAGATTACAGCATTGAGATTTAATAAAAGGCCAATATAATTGTTTTAAAATAATGTAAGGAATTAGGGAATGTGACTTTTATCCGAACATAGAAATAGACATTGCCATTATGCTGAGTGAAATATCTCAATCACAAAAGGACAAAAACTGCATAATGCCACTGTTAAAAAACAGGAATGACATGGGGTTTGGGGGAAACAAAAGGGAGGATAAATAATGAACACTGCATTTAAATAAATGAGGTAAAGAACTGTCCAAAAGAAATTTATGATTAGGTGTTAAATAATAACATGGCATGCATGACATGTCATACAAAACAAAATGCATGACAACAGTCCAGAATAAGAAAGTAGACTCGGGGAGGTAGGAAATTGTGCAACATTGAAAGAATCTTTTTAAAGAGAAAAGCAAACTGGGGGGTAGGGAGGAAAATGTGCAACAGTGAATGAATAGAAACCAAGTTTTCTGTAAACTTTTGTTAAAATATCAATTAAAAAAACAGTTTTTTTAAAAAAAAAGAAATTGACATTGCATTGTTGGACTGAGCAGGCTTATGTAAAAGACCTGGATATAGATGCTGGAGGCACGGCCCATTGAGCTGTTTTGAACAGAAGGTCCTACAAGTATTAAAGGATAAGTTTATACATCCCATTTGTTTTCAATCTAGCAAGAAAATGGCAAGGAAGAAAGTCAGATTCAGCTTATTCTAAAGATTATTTGGGAATATTAGACTTTGATTTCCCCCCATTTTTGTGTTCGTGCTGCAAAACTGTCTTCGGTATTTCTTAGGCTTAGACAAGATAGTGGCCAGAATAGGGCCTTAGTTTATCAAAAGTAACAGGGATGTGTCAGAAATTGCCAAATGTTTGCTTTGTGTACTGCCTGTGAGGCACTTCTGAAGAATGATATAAAAATAAGGTCGTACTAATATAAAACCAGCGTTTGTGAGTTTGTGGAGATGAGTACAGAAGGTATTAGCCAAGAACACTTTTTCATAGAAAGTCTTGGCTGTGCTCTCCTGGTTGGACTCATGATGCCTGTAGTCATCCTTCTTCTTAACTGTGGCCCAGAGTTCCTTCTGCTGGAGAATGTGGTGCACCACTTCAAGTACCCCTGCGTGCTGGACCTGAAGATGGGCACCCGGCAGCATGGCGATGACGCATCTGCTGAGAAGGCAGCCCGACAGATGAGGAAGTGCGAGCAGAGCACATCCGCTACACTGGGTGTCAGGGTTTGTGGCATGCAGGTGAGTTGCCCCAGAAAGAGCCTAGGAGCATGTACTTCCCTGCCACCTCTGCTTAGTGTCCTCTCTCCTCCACATTGGACCAGAGGTCCCTCTGAAAGGGTGAGACCTCCACAGAGTGCTAAGTGTGTTCTTACAGCTGTATGCCTGAGTCCTCTTACCTGTTGACCTTGATCTAGACATCAGGCTCAGGCCTCTCTTGAGCCCTTACTATGAGATTGTGCTCACTGGATGTTGGGGTAATGGAGACCCTTGCCTGTCAGCAAGACACTTCTAGATAATTTGTGTCCAGCTTGGCACCAAGGCAGCTTTAAGCTGTATTTCAGTGTTGACCATGATTATAGAGAACCTGTAATCCTAGATGTAGGAAATCTCAGGGTGAACATGGACTCTCCTACTTCAGGGAGGAAGGGGAAATCTCACAGTGGTCAGAGGACTTTCCAAGTAGTGCTTGTGCTGGTAGAGAGCTCTAATCCACAGTAAATTGTGCTGCTAACCCCAGACAGGTCTTGTCCAGGGGGTGAGGGGGGTTCCATGAAATCTTTAACCTTCTCGGGCTTACCCTGTTTGTTTTCTGGGGTTTCAGGTATACCAGCTGGACACAGGGCATTACCTCTGCAGGAATAAGTACTATGGCCGGGGGCTTTCCATCGAAGGGTTCCGCAATGCTCTCTACCAGTACCTGCACAATGGCCTGGACCTGCGACGTGACCTCTTTGAGCCCATCTTGAGCAAACTTCGGGGCCTCAAAGCTGTGTTGGAGCGGCAGGCTTCCTACCGCTTTTACTCCAGCTCGCTGCTGGTCATCTATGATGGAAAGGAGTGCCGGCCCGAGCCCTTTCAGGACCGCAGGTCCGAGATGCGTCTCAAGCACCTGGACATAGGGCTCCCAGAAGTGGCATCACCGTGTGGCTCCAGCACCAGCCCTGGCAGCACCAGCCCTGAGGCAGGCCCCCCCTCTCCTCCCAAGGTGGATGTCCGCATGATCGACTTTGCACACAGCACGTTCAAGGGTTTCCGGGATGACCCCACCGTGCATGATGGGCCAGACCGAGGCTATGTATTTGGCCTGGAGAACCTTATCAGCATCATGGAACAGATGCGGGACGAAAATCAGTAGGCCCAGCTATGGGCGCCCAGAACCCCTTCTTCACCCACAGGCAGGGACCATCGCTCTGAACTCACCGTGAGGACACACAGACTTTGCTTTTAAAGGGTTATATTTCTCTTTGGTGTAAACTAAAAGAAATGTTTTTAGCTGTAGCCTGGAATCCATATATATGCAGTGAAGGAGGGCAGCACACATATCCTCTCAGCCAGGGCTCCTTAGCTCTATGGCTCTGACTGCTGTATCCAGGCTAACGTAGGAAGGAGGTGGTGCCCATTGTGGGCTTCACAGCAGTGACAAGGTGCCCGTGGTCATGGGTTTCGCTTGCCTAGATCTCTGGGGTCTATGGCTGCAGGGCCCTGGATGGTAAAATGAAGCCCTGGGCTGGTGCAGGGCCCTCCGTGCCCCCTTATTCCTTGTTCCCCAGAAGTCAAGGTGATTGGATGCCTGTCTCTTGAGGGCTTTCCAGTGTTGTGCTCTGGTGGTTAGCCAGCTCTTTTAACAGCTGTCCCCAGGGGCCACACGTCCAACTGCACACAGCTGGACCCTACTTACTAGTTCTGACTTTGGCATGGGTGTCAGATTAAGCTGGGCTAAGGCCAAGTCACGCAGAGAACAGGCCCTTGGGTTCCCTGGGCACCCCTTGGCACTTGACCATGTTCTTCCTCTTGTCTCATACCCAGCCAACCTCTCACTAAGATCCTTTTCTTGGAGGTCACCCTTTTCTGTCTCCCTGAAAGGCCTCAACTCTGTTTACTGAGGAAAGGTGATGGATGCCCCAGCAGGCCTTAGACAGTGCTTGCAGCTCTTCCGCTGTCAATGGGAACTCTAACTTGGGCAGCTGTACTGCCTCTGAATGGGCTGCTTCTCCCAGGGACTAAGGGCTGCAGTTGCTCAGGGTCTCAAATTTTCCTAGGCCAGGTTCAAGACCATAGCCTATGTGAGAAGATTCTGGCCATGGAGGGAAAACTTTTCAGCTTGTCAGCTCATAGGGACAGTCTGGGCCTTGGATGTAGGTGCCTAGATTCTGCTAAAGAAAGCTTTGTCTGATCAGGCCTAGGGTCTGTCAGTCTGTCCATTTGTCTGTCTGCCAGCCTCTGTCTCTGGGGGTTCTCCCCCTGGGGGTTAGCCTTGCTCATTAGTAAATACTGTTTTCCTTAGCGGAATCCACTTTCTCCTGAGTTTTTGCCCTGCGTTCTTCCTCAGCAGGTGCTTACCCTTCTACAAAGAGCTCTAGCAGAATTGAAGAGGTGTTTCCCAGCTGGCTTGGCACCTTCTTTGTGGGCCTGGTGTTTGACTCCCTCATCACTGATAGTGCAGTGAAGGCCCAGGGGCAGCCTCTTTCCCCATGGTTTTTTTTGTTGTTTGTTGTTGCCAGCCCTTAATGACAGAGACCTGCTAGCACTAAAGCACATGGTCAGGTGATACTGCATCCATTGCCAAGCCATCCCGAGTACCCTCATCCTTGAGTCTCAGCCACTATCATTGTCACTTTGGGCATGTCCTTGTTTTGGCAGTAACTAGTAAGCTTTCCATCCTGTTTCTGTTGGTGAGGCCTTGGTATCAACGGTGAGCTACTCTTTCCAGTCCTTAGACGTGGAACCTCACTTCCTAAATGAAGTGAGCTCCCCATGTCCTTAGCCTCTGACCCTGTACCAGTGGTGGGCAGGTTCCCATTCCTCGGGGCTAGGAGGAACAGCTTGCCTGTTTATGGTCAGTAATGACCATCTTTTCTCTCGTACTATTCTGTAGAATTAGTTATGGAAGTGGTAGCAGTTTGCTAGTGTAAACAGCCATTTCCTTGTCAGGACAAAGGACAAGACAAAGGATCTGGGGTCTCTCTGGACTCCCTTGATTGAACCTGTCCAGCCTGGCATGTGATGGAATCTCAGCGTTCCTAGATTCTGAGAGCAGATGCTGCCCTCTTCTGCTGCTCCTCATAGTGAGAGACTGCACCCATTTATATTCAGTGTTTTCCTAGCACTAAAAAAAAAAAGAGCAAAAGGGCCTGGGATTTGCTGCTGTTCCCCAGGGCAGGGCTCCTCTTTTCAGCACTTTGAATGCCTGGAGATTTAGCCCTGTTGCCTAGGGTGAGGGGGTGGGCAGCAGGCTTGTGTGCACCCACTGTCACTGCTCCTCTCCTGCTCCAGGCCAGAGAGCTCTGTTCCTGTCAGGGTCTGCCTTCCCAGCCCCAGCTTGGGACCAAAGTGCAACGCGGGATCACGGGTTGGGGCGCTCAGGTGACCCCTCTCTACTACAGTGCTTCCCAGGGCCAAGCTGACACCAGCCCCCGGGGAGGGACGGGCAGAGGCGGTGCTTCCAGAGGAAGGGGACCAGTGTAGCAATTTGTCAGGGACCCCACCCCTCCCTCTCAGGGCTTGTGCAATGGGCATCAGGGGTTCCCCCCAAGGGGCCAGAGGCCTAGGCTGGCTGCTAGCTGCTGCTCACACCTGGCTATTAATATACCTAGAAGCAGATTGCTTTGAACTTCTGTACAATTTGGTTTTGTTTATGATGATTAAAAAAAAAAAATGTTTTAATGAGGGGAAAAGATGGAGAACCCTGGGAAGGACCTGCCAGGTTTTGGTTCTTTTGCTTCTCGGGACAGTAAGGCCATGCCCTCCGGGAATCCTGTCTGCTCTTCTTTCCTGGAAGCAAACCAAGCCCGTCCACGCCGCAGAGGCCTACGCCCGGAGCTCCACGCGGCTCTGGCCGCGACTCTGCGCAATCGCGTTTTCTCGGGACCTTGCGTGTGGAGAGTGGGAGGCTCAGGCCGAGCCCACCCCTTTCTGTGCACCTCGTGTTGCCCGCCCCGCTTGTGTCTGAGGTCGTGTATGTTCAAATAAAGCCGCTAGAAACCGAAGTGGAGTTGGTGCCTTTGTGTAAATCTCCCGAGCTTTACGCGGAGCGGTCCCGGCCGCCCCACGTCCTCGGCAGCCGCGGAGGGGGCGGGGCCGGAAGCGACCGTTCCCACGGCGGAGGCGCCCGAGCCGGGAAGAAACCTCGCCCTTGCCGCCCGTTCCGCCTTCGGATCTGCCAATGGGCAGCTGACCCGCATGTCCGGGTCCCGGTCCCCATGGCAGCGCGGCGCGCTCGGGCTCTCATTGGCTACGTCAGCCAAGCCGCTGCGACTCTGCGCTCCTCCGCCAGCGGCCTTGCCACGTACGCGGCAGCGGATTGGTCTACCTGGATTACGTCGCTGCCCGCGCCCAGCCTGGCCTGAGTTCTGGGCCAGAAGCATTCTCTTCCGCGTCGCGTCTTGATTTATGGGGGATCGGGGTTTGTGTTAGAGCAGACGAGACGGAGCCAGAGTGGGGCAGTTTGGTGGGTGAAGGGCTTGAGGCTGGATACAACTGCGGGGGTCGACCAGACGGGACTGGGCACTTGAGAGCCGAGCGCTCACTGTCCGGCCGCCCCCAGGTGCGATGAAGGCACTCATCCTAGTGGGAGGCTATGGGACGCGGCTGCGACCGCTGACACTGAGCATTCCGAAACCCCTGGTGGACTTCTGCAACAAGCCCATCTTGCTGCACCAAGTAGAGGCGCTAGCCGCGGTAAGGCCTGGAGCCGGGGGTGGCCCTGGGGGCGAGGGACGGCTAGTGACTAAGGTCAGGGATTCCCGTGTCTTTCATTTGAGCCGCCCGTCGGTCTTTGGTGTTTGTCCGACAGGCTGGCGTGGACCATGTGATTCTGGCCGTGAGTTACATGTCTCAGATGCTGGAAAAGGAAATGAAAGAGCAGGAGCAGAAGGTGAGGTGCACACGCCGTCTTTTTCTGTGTTTCCCGCTCAGCCACCCACTTCTCGGTGCGAGGACCATGACTGTGGCTTATCTCTCCCAGCTAGGAATCCGCATCTCAATGTCTCATGAAGAGGAGCCTTTGGGGACAGGTCAGTTGAGACAAAAAGGCCTTCTGGAGCAGGTGTAAGGCCAGGAAAGCAAGAAGACGTAGCCCGAGTGGGGCTGCTGAGCCTGTATCTAGGGGCTCAGACTCCCAGCATAGTGATGACCTGTTTTCCTACTCTAGCTGGGCCTCTGGCATTGGCCCGTGACCTGCTGTCTGAGACCGAAGAGCCCTTCTTTGTCCTCAATAGTGATGTGATCTGTGATTTTCCCTTCCAAGCCATGGTGCAGTTCCATCGGCACCATGGCCAGGAGGGCTCCATTGTGGTAAGTTCTCTTTGACACTCCCACTGTCATGTTGGGGCGCTCTGGTGGCTTAGTGAGAAGCAGTTCTGTTGCCAACCTAAAGACACACAGTTTGAATCCACTAGATACAGTACAACAAAATCATGGACGGTCACCTCCCATGCAGTTTACTACTTCTGAAAACCCCGAGTGAGTTGGTTTTGACTCAACAATACATGACAACTACCCTCACATCTAGTCTCTTCCACTCCCTAGCTTTAAACTCGCATGTGTAGAGGAAGAGGGGCATTGTGCAGCCTATCTTTATACATTTAGGGGCATGCCCCCCCAAGATTTGGGACAGCATGAATATCTAGGCCAGGCACACTAGACCAGGCCTGAGGTCTTCTTGCACTCAGGTGACCAAGGTGGAAGAACCCTCCAAGTATGGTGTGGTGGTGTGTGAGGCTGACACAGGCCGGATTCACCGGTTCGTGGAGAAGCCGCAGGTGTTTGTGTCCAACAAGATCAATGCAGGCATGTATATCCTGAACCCAGCAGTGCTGCAGCGGATCCAGGTGTGTGGGAGCCAGCTGCTGAGTGGCCTGGGGTGGGGCACACTGCCATTGCCATGACTCTGCTCTTAAGATGCCCACTCCCACAGCTGCAGCCCACGTCCATCGAGAAGGAGGTTTTCCCCGTCATGGCTAAAGAGGGACAGCTGTATGCCATGGAACTGCCGGGTGAGGCAGTGAGGCCACAGGGTGGGTGGACGGGTGCTCTGTACTTGGTCTGAGCCTTCTGGTGAATCTTTTCCTACAGGCTTTTGGATGGATATTGGGCAGCCCAAGGATTTCCTCACTGGCATGTGCCTCTTCCTCCAGTCACTGCGACAAAAGCAGCCTGAGCGGCTCTGCTCAGGCCCTGGTATCGTGGGCAACGTACTGGTGGTGAGGCCCTTGGTCGGCTCAGCCCATCATTAACCTCATCAGTCATCAGGGGATAAATGGCTGACTTAAATCTTCCTCACTGCCCTCAGGACCCAAGTGCCCGCATTGGTCAGAATTGCAGCATCGGTCCCAACGTAAGCCTGGGCCCTGGTGTAGTGGTGGAGGATGGCGTGTGTATCCGACGGTGCACAGTACTGCGGGATGCCCACATCCGTTCTCACTCCTGGCTTGAGTCCTGCATTGTGGGCTGGCGCTGCCGAGTGGGCCAGTGGGTAAGACTGTAGGCTGGGCCAGGTGGGAGAGGGCAGGGCACACACCTGCCTCGCTGACAGCCTGCCTCTCCCTCCAAGGTACGCATGGAGAATGTGACAGTGCTGGGCGAGGACGTCATAGTTAACGATGAGCTTTACCTCAACGGGGCCAGTGTGCTGCCCCACAAGTCTATTGGCGAGTCAGTGCCGGAGCCTCGAATCATCATGTGAGGGTGTGCCATGGGGCTGGTGGAGCTCCTGCTTCCCCGTCAGCAAGGGAAACACATGTTCGGAAGCCCTGGACTCGTTGCCATCTGTCTGAGGAGGATTGGATAAGGACACCTGCTGTTGGACACCTGCCTTATATGGATGTATCTGGCAGGATACCTGCTGGGTAAACCCCACAAATCTCATTCCTCAATAAGCCCAGGGCCAGGGCTGTATGGAATAATAATTTAATGTTCACTGTGGCCCTGACTGAATGTCAAGCTCAGGCACAATTAGGGCCATGGCTGGGCTCCCACCAGTGAGGCTACACAGGCAAGATGAGGGTTGGATGTGGCAGGGGACCCTGGGGCACAGGGCAAGAGAAGTTCATAAATAGGGCCCAGCTGGGGCTGGGTTTGAAGGTGTAGGGTTTTGGACGGTGCAGCTCTGTGGGCCAGGAGTCTAGGCAGCTGAGGAGGTTGTACTACTCGCAGTGGCTGATTTCTCCCAGTCCTCCACAGACACAATGGTGGCTTTGCAGAAGAAGCAGTCCTTATTATTCATCAGGTGCTGGTTGATGCAGGCTCTGCCACAGAGAGGGTGACAAGGTATGCCCTGTATGTCTGCTGCTACCTGCTCCCCTCCCCGCTTCCAGCAGATAGGACCCCTTACTTGCAAGACTTGTGGCCACAGGGCTGGAACACAGCAGAGATTGGGTGGGCATAGCAGATGGGGCAGAGATCTTCCTCACTGGTGGGCTGCAGGGAGGAGAGTGCAGTATGGACTGAGTTAGGGTCCCCCCATGGACATAGGCTGGCTAACATGCACCTTCAGGTGGCATGAGCTGTGTCCTAGGGCCACACTCACCAGAGAGGCAGCTGCTGCCTGGGCAGATGCAGAGGTCAGGTGGGCCAGCATCTGTCCCACCTGTGCCAGCTCCTCAGCACTGATGTAATCTGTGTCTGGGGGTGGGAGGAGGTGTCAGAGGTGGCTGTAGAACTTTCTGTCCTGAGTATCCCTAGCCTAGGAATGGGCTATTCTTGAGACCCATGGCCTAGCCCAGCCCCAAATACCTGTCATCACCGCCCACCTTCAATCCTGCAAAAATAGGTATATCCCTCCACTCACAGCTCTGCAGGGAGAAGCGCTTCCGGTCAGGAGCAGGCAGGGCAGTGCCTGGTGCTGGTGGCTCCGACTGCCCCAGGAGATAGCATATAGACCGGAGCTGGAAGCAGGGATCAGCCAGCAGCACTGAAGTGGCTCTCTCTATCCTGGGGGAGGGAGCAAAGGTGACATCAGGGGGCTCAGAGACTGTAGAAAAGACTCTACTGAAGAAACCGTACAGTCACCCTGACCACCTGCCTTAGATTCCTTCATCCCACCCCATCTTCCTAATTACCAGTCCAGTAAGCCCTAGATCCCAGTCAAGACCCATACAGTCTTGGTGCTAGCTCAGGGGGCTCAGGAGGGCCACCAGGAAACAGTGAAAACCTACCAGCCTTGTGACACACATTAACCCTTAAAAACCACTCCGAATAAACAGACTACACAATACTTGTAGTGGCTTGAAGATGTACTTCCCAGCCAGCCCTTGCCTTGACACTGGGCACGCTGCAGAAAGCTGCCGGGTGTAATGCTTGCTGGGGCTGGGCTCCTGCCCCCTGGCGGCCCCGCCTCCTCAACCAGGAGCCAATGGTGACTTGAGGTCCCGCCTCCTGAGGCACAGCCTCCAGGCGAGTATTTAACGGAGTGAGAACCTGAGGCAGGGAGCCCGGGAGGAGCGCTGCCCGGCTGAGGGAACCCGGGCAAAGCAGAGGTAGCTGTGCGGGGCCGACTCGCCCTCTGGCAGCGCTGTGCACACTAAGCAGGAGCAGCAGTGGGTGAGTCCTGGAGCGGCCCTTCCCTGTCCCCGGAGGCCACCACCATGGCCTGCCTTTTGCTGCCGGCCACACTGCTGGGTCTGCTGTGCACTGGCTCAGGCACCTTCGACCACGAGGGCTTCCCGCCGCGGGCTCCCCGCGACTGCCCGGGCCGGTGTGTGTGCACCGCGGACGTGCTGAGCTGTGCCGGCCTGGGGCTGCAGAGCGTGCCGGCTGAGCTCCCCGCCACGTCCGCCGACCTCGACCTGAGCCACAACGCGCTCCGGCGCTTGCGCCCAGGCTGGCTGGCGCCCCTCGGCCGGCTGCACACGCTGCGCCTAAGTCACAACGAGCTGGGCGTGCTGGGTCGGGGTGTCTTCAGTAACGCCAGCGGCCTGCGGCTGCTTGACCTCTCCTCAAATGCTCTGCGAGCGCTCGGCCGCCACGACCTCGACGGGCTGCGGGCGCTGGAGAAGCTGTTCCTGTTCAACAACCGCCTGGCCCACTTGGACCAGCACGCCTTTCACAGCCTGGGTGCACTCAGCCAGCTCTACCTGGGCTACAACAAGCTCACCTCCTTCTCTTTTGGTCACCTGCACGGTTTGGGCACTGTCCACCTACGCACCTTGGACCTCTCCTCCAACCAACTGGGGCACATCCCTGTGCCTGAGCTGGCCTCGCTCCCAGCCTTTCTCAAGAACGGCCTCTACTTGCACAACAACCCCTTGCCCTGCGACTGCCGCCTCTACCACCTGCTGCAGCGCTGGCACCAGCGGGGATTCAGCGCTGTGCGCAATTTCGAGCGGGAGTACATGTGTCTGGCCTTCAGGGTGCCCTCTTCCCGTGTGCACTTCTTCGAGCACAGCCGTGTCTTCGAGAACTGCTCAGCGGCCACCACACACGACCTGGAACAGTCTGAAGGGCAGCTGGAGGTGCAGATGGGCCAGTCCCTACAGCTGCACTGCAACACCAGCGCCCCAGCCCTGCACGTCGCCTGGGTGTCCCCACAGCACGAGCTGCTCCTGGCGCCAGGGTCCCAGGACGGGAGCATTGTGGTGCTGGCGGATGGCAGCCTGGCCATCGGTAGTGTGCAGGCCTCGCACGAGGGCATCTTCGTGTGCCTGGCCACTGGGCCCCACCTGCACAACCAGACGCACGAGTACAATGTGAGTGTGCACCGACCTCACCCTGAGCCTGAGGTCTTCAGGACCAGCTACACCACACTGCTGGGCTGCGCTGTGGGCCTGGTGTTGGTCCTGCTCTACCTGTTCCTACCACCCTGCCGGGGCTGCTGTCGCTGCCGCCGCTGGCCCAGAACACCCAGCCCTCTCCAGGAACTGAGCGCCCAATCCTCAGTGCTCAGCACCACACCTCCAGATGCACCCAGTCGAAAGGCCAGCACCCACAAACACGTGGTCTTTCTGGAGCCAGGCAGGAGGGGCCTCAATGGTCGCGTGCAGCTGGCCATAGCTGAAGACTTTGATCTTTGCAACCCTGGAGGCCTGCCGCTCAAGGTCAGCTCAGAGTCAGCCAGTTCTATGGGCTCTGAGGGTCCCGTGATGACATAGGTCGCCCAGATGCTCCCACCCTCACCCAGGCCGCTGCTCTGCTTGCTGCTTGCCCTGCCCCCTGCCCTGCCCCCTGCTACGGTCCAGAGAACTACTAGGTGCTGAGTTGCTGGGATGCCCTAGGGCCTGGTCTCATAATCTACTGAGTGGACTTCGGCAGAGGGGTCGGGAGTCCCCAGCAAAGGCCCCAGGTCCTGCCTGAGACTGTTCTTGTTTACTTGCCCCAGGAGCTCCTGGTTCCCAATGTTCAGTGAAGACTAGGGGGCTAAGGGGGTAAGGCCCATCCAATGAGCACTTGCATTAGCATCCAACAGCTCTCAAGGCATGGCACTGAAATGCATCCCTCTTCCCAAGGGCTGGGAGGGTGTGAACCAGGGAGAGAGGAGGCGTTTCAGAGAATGTACTTGTTCTTATGCTCAGGGCAGAAGAACCCGCCCTCAGGTGTAACAGGCCTCCTCGTCCACCAGCATCCAACTTATTTAAAGCTTCACAATACAGTGTGGGGTCTGACGGGCACATCTGGTGGGTGGGCATGGCTCCTGAGGGGACTCCAGAGAGCCTGGCCTGAGTCCTGCTCTCTCCCAGGGTTCTCTAGAGGCCACACTGAGGCCAAAGCTCAGGGCCTTGATTCACGAGACAGCACTGAGGGCACCACAGCCTGTGCCCCAGCTTCTCAGCAGCAGAAAGCCTGCCAGACATGGCCAAGCTGTGGGGGGGATCTTGCTGAGCCGGAACACACTCTCCCTCGAGGAAAGAGCCTCTTAAGGGCTGGCTCTGGCTGCAGCCTAATGATGGGCTGGCGTCCTAGCTTGTCCACGACAGCAGGGTGGGGAAGGGATCTGGGCACCCAGTGCGTGTCCGAGTCTGGCTGTCATGGAGTTTCTTAATAAAGTAAGATGTGCTCGTGGCTGGAGCCTTTGTAGATGGCAGATACCAACCAGTGTGTGGGTCTTCAGCTTTCAACCTCAGCAGTGCCCCACCCAACCTTGGCAGGGTGACCCCACAGGCATCCTGGCTCCCCAGTCTCTGCCTGAGGCATAGCCACAGCTTTGTCTTGCTGGGCTCCTGCATTCTACTCAGAGCTGCTGCCATCATGTCTTTAGGCCTCGCCATCTCACCTCGGACGCAAAAGCAAAAATCTGGGACTGAAGCCCATTTTAGAGAGAAGGAATCTGAGATGCAGTGAGGCTCCACCAGTCCCTTTTCCATCAGACACACCACACTCTCAGGGGGCCCACTGTCCCCGACACTCACCCTGAAGCTGGGCCGTGCACCAGGAGCTGCACGAGGATACCCGTCACTGCCACCAGGATGGGGTAGTGGTCCACACTCTCCAGACCTGGGTGAAACAGAGGAGGGGTGAGCCACACATGTGCTTTTGATGCAGGGCCTCCAGGCCAGCTGCTGCCCTCCCACAGAGGGGCAAGCTGATGCTGGGGCACAGCCTGGTGTCCTTAGGCAGCCTGGAGGCCTGGGCATCACTGCTACTGGCAGAGAAACCAAACCATCGGGAGGAGGGGCGCAAGGTGTCTTGAGTCCTCACCAGGCAGGCGAAGGGTGACCACACGGTCAAATAGGTTCCTCTCAGCTGTCACCCGGTTCAGCACCTGGTTCAGCAGCTGTGAGCACAGAACCCACTGGTCAGGGGGAGGCTAGCTCTGGAGTGTCCCCGGGACCCCACCCTGCCAGCCAAAGCGGACATACCTGCGCCAGACGCCGCAGCAGCATCTCAGAGGTAGGCCGGGTCCAGTCGAGGAATATCTCAGGCACCAGTGTGATGGTCATTTCCAGGACACGCAACAGGCTGACCGAGAGGTCAAAGCAAGTGGCACACACCTTGAGCTGCCGGCTGTCCACAAAGTTCCGCTCTAGGCGCTCAGCCGCCTGCTGGATCTGAGTCACCAACAGGTGGGCACACAGGAGTCAGTGGCCTGAGCTCACCCAGGGCCGTGTCTTGTCCCGTCATGCCCAGGACCCCCCAACAGCCCACCTCCTGGATCATGCCGATGAACTCCGAGAAGGCCCAGTTGAGCTGGTTGAGGACGCTGTTGAGGAAGCTGGGCGCCACATCGGGACCCTGCCGCAGCAGGTCTGCCATGTGCTGCTGCAGGAGGGTGGAGGGGCAGGGCTCTGCAGGGACACAGGAGGTGGTGGTGTCAGGGACACAAAGCAGTGGGCCCTGGTGAAAAGGCTGCTTTGTGGGACCACAGAGCTCATGAGAACAAGGAGACAGGGCGGGTGCTGTGCTGAGTCAGGGATTCACTTGCTCTTCCCGTCTTCGTCTTCGGAGAAAGCCACACTGCAGGTGATCCTGCCTCTGCTCACACCACACCCCCACCCCTCAGCCTGACCCTTCCAAAGGAGCGAGATCCCTACCCACTCTACAAAGGCCAGCTTCCCCCAGGGTTCGCCCTGAGGCAGGGCCCTGCTGCAAGCCTGCCATCCTCTCCTATTTTCTGCTGCCCTTGGCCTGGCCTTGGCACATGGGAGAGGGGGTGAGCACCATGTCTGGGGCCAGCAGGCAGCAGTAACTAGAGCCCTCAGAGTCATGCTCCCCCACTCTTCCTGAGCCAGATCAATAGTCCTTGCAGCAGCAGGACGCAGACCTGGCCCTGATACCACCTCTCCACTTGCAGCTCAGCTCCATCTTGGGCAGGACCAAAGCAGCTGGCAAGGACTTGCTGTATGACTCTGGACAAAGTGCCCAGCTGCTTTGTGGGTACCCTCCACATCAAAGCACTGCCCAGAAAGGCAGAACTCTACAGGCCAAGGCCAGCTGCCACTAGGTGGGTACAGAACCTGCAAGATGGACAGTCCAGACCACTGACTGTGCCAGATGAAGGGCCTCGGGCCCCCAACGCTTTGCAGGGCTGCTTCTCAAGAGCGTGGACACAGCCTCTGCTCCTAAACAAACGCCTTCCCTCTGAGGATCCTCACAGACACTACCTGGGGCCTTGACAAACTGCCAGCCTGCCTCCGACTTGAGGCTGGCCATGGCGCAGGGGAGCAGCAAGGGGGTTCAGTGGGAAGAGGACAGGGTGCTTGCCCTGCACGAGTGACTCACGGAGGGCCTGGGCCCTGAAGCACACACAGGACAGTGCCTCATCCCCACACCATCACAGCCCACAAGACAGTATACCCCAGAGTGTCAGAGCCTGAGGGCCTGCGGGGAGAAGGGGGCAGGTGTAGAACTGCCCAGTGGATACTCACTCTGGAGGCTGGGCAGATTGGCATCCTCAGGCTTGGTTTTGAGCAGGTGTGGTAGCCGTGTGTAGCGGTACCCGAAACCACAGCCCTGGGGATGACCAGTGGGGGGTGAGTGGGCCAAGGTAACATCTCCCTCCAGCCAGCTTAGACCACCACCCCCGAGTCAGGCTTACCCTCCAGAGCCGCACCAGGATCCAGTTGGTCTGGGCCCATGGCCGCTGCTCGTAGGGTGCTAGGAGGTTCCTGACCATGGCGATGCGTCTGTGAGGCGAAGAGGAGAGGCTGGGGGTGATGCTTTCTCTGGGCGGGTGTGTGCCTCCCACTCTCAGCCCATCTCCACTCACTGCTCTTCAGGGATCCGCTCCACAGCCCGCAGGGAGTGAGGGTAGCACACGTAGCTGGCCAGGGCCTGCATCAGCGAGTCACGGATGTCTGCAGGGAGGAGTCACACCTTAGCAGGTCCTTAGCTCGGGTCCTGGCCCCGTGTCTCATGCCCACCTGATCAGCATCCAGCAATGGAAACAGCCAGCCAAAAGTGCCATCCTGCCCGACCCCCACCAGCCCAGCCCAGGGGGTCTCACCAGTGCCGATGATGCGAGTGTCAGCAAAGTGTTTGGCAAGGATGGCGGCCAGGCGGGTCAGGGTCTCTTCATAGCCTGCATGGTAGAGAAGGGGAAGCTGTTAATTACAGGTAGAGTTCCAGACACAGGGCGGTCCCTTGGGTGGGTGGGCTTAAGCAGCAGGCTCCAAGGGCCAGTCTGGGCTGTGCTGATGTCTAGGGACACTGGACATGGCATTCACTGGCAGCTGGTAAGTGACTATGGCACAGATTCACTGGATGGGGTGGGCAGGAGCTGGCCTCAAACCATCTCAGGATATACATTTGATGGCCCAGAAGTCAGAGCCACCCAGGCCCCTTGGAGGACAGCTCTGTCTCTGAATATGATGTCTGTACCAAGGCCGAGGGTAGGACAAGCGTCCAGGGGCCCAACACATCAGACACAGACCCGGAGAACCAGCAAGCCCATGCTGAATCAGTGTTCTTCCAGAGCCCTGTGGTGATTTTCAGAGATGAACCACTTTGCCCAACAAGAGACCACAGACCACAGCCAGTAAAGGGGTGATGGCGTCAGGGGCCGGGGGCTCCTGGACCACAGCCGCTGCTCGGCAGCACCAGGAAGGCAAGGAAACCAGGGGGCTTCCCTGTGGTCTACCTTGTCTGCTTCCCTCAAAGCACCAAGAGGTGCCGCTGGGCCTAGAGCAGGGGGACTCCACGTGGGGCTTTTAGAAGCTGGCCTCTCCTTCTCATGCTGTCGTGTGCGGATGAGCCATGGCCAGCTCAGACCAGGGCAAAAAGGGGTCACAACTCCCTCCCCTCCTGAGTGACCTCATCACCTGGAAGCTCCTCCATGCTGTGTACGGGGCCAAAATAATTCTTGAGGGCACTGTAGCTGTTGATGGCCACGCTCAGGTAGAACTCTGGCATGAAGGCGAAGAGCGAGCCCGTGCGGTCCCCATGCTCAATGGTCCGCAGGCAGACACGCAGCAGCCAGTAGATATCCAGCATCTTCTCCTGCGAGGGCACAAGGGGGAGGGTCATAGGGCCGAACTCAGATCGGCGATCAGGAAAATAGGCTATCAGAGTTGAGGCCTGGGTTCCAGGAAATGAAGGCAGTGGTTCAGGCAGGGACAAGAAAGACTTGGAGGACATCAGATCCCGTGTGGCTGGAGGGACCCAGGAAGGCCTTCATGGGGTGAGGGACGTGTACAATCTGGAGAAAACACCACTTCGACCACCTGAACCCTGGAGGAGGGGAGACTCAAGGCTTTTTCCTGCCTGGCTGGTGCTTTTTAAAGGCAAAGAAGTTTTTAAGCAAAGGAGTGGCACATCCAGGAAAGGAACACAGCTATGAGCAAAGCGGCTGTAGGAACAATTAGGACAGCGAGAACGCCTTGGCCTCTTCCAGGCTGCACCTGTGGTAAGAATGGGAGGGAGGGGTGTCTCCACAAAGGTCACGAGTGCTAGAGAAGGAGGCCCGGAGCCAGGGCAGAGGGAGTGCAGCTTGGGACACTTGGAGCATGAAGTACCTGGAGAAGCTTCCAGAAAAGTGGGAAGGAGGCAGACAGAATTTAGGGCTGGAGTTCAAAGAGGGAAGATGAGGGAGCAAATACTGGTGAGACCAAAGTCACACAAAAAAACAAGCAAAAATCTTCCCCATTGCGTGGCTCCCATGTTCTCGGATACAGGTCTGTCTGTATCTCTCTCTCAAGATAAATTGTACTGTGCTTTAGATCAACATTTACACAGTGAATTAGGTTCTCATTTAACAATCTACATACAAACTGTTCTGTTACATTGTTGAATTTTTTACATGTCAGCATTCTCATTTCCAGTCTTGTTTTCTATTTTTCTCTCTGACTGGTTGGGATTTGAATGAAATTTCAGATTGGTATTCCAGTCAAACATTCATATACATTTTATCAAACCAGGTCCCTTTGTGCCCTGAAACCCAAAGGCCTGAGGAGGTGTGAGCAAGAGGTCAGAGGTCAGCCAAAGGTTAGGGTTAGAGCATGTAGGGCGGAGGCGTCCAGCGGAACCTGCTGCCACAGAAACCCACGGAAGGCCAAGTCCAAGGAAGTGGGGCTACCGGCCCACAGGAGGGTCAAGAAGGCCCACAGATACCACAGTGAGACTAACAGGTGAGGAGAGGAGTGGAGCAGAGCGTGATGAGGGCAGTATGATGCAGAGCGTAACAGAAGGGAGAAGAGAGTGGTGGCTGCAGGTGGACAGAGAGGAGGGGAGACTCACAGGCTTTTTCCTTTAATGGGAGGAAGTGGATGAGAGGAAGGTAGAAGAGTGAGCGCTGAAGACGCCGAAGGATGGTTGAGCTGGCGGGGGAAAGTTCCTTAGAGGATGGTGTCTGAGGGGAAGCAAGATCGCCCTGGTGAGGGCGCAGACCTCCAGCATGGGGAGGAGAGGCAGCATTCCTCTGATAGAAATCATCTTCCTAAGGCAATGATGTCAGTCTAGAGACTAAGCTGTGCCTGATCCAGACCATGGTCTTCACAATTACTATGCATCAGAGTGCTGGGTAATGACTAAGGCAGATAGAAGAAGAATTGATGCCTTAGAGTTGTGATGCTAGAGAAGAGTCTTGAACATACATACCATGGACCACCAAGAAAACAAATAGGTCTGTCTTCGAGAGGGTGAAACCAAGTGTCTCTTTGGAGGCTAGGATTTTGCAGTTCTGTCTCATCCTTTGGGCATGTGGTCAGGAAGGACCAATCCTTAGAGAAGGACATCATGCTCGGAGGGGTGGGTGATGAGCACAGGACAGTAAGACCTGAGATGAGATGGACTGATACAGTAACTGGGGCAGTGGGGGCTGGTTTGTCAGAGTCAGTGGGACTGGCTCAGGACAGGGCAGGATGCAGAGTTGCTGGACATGAGGTCACTATGAGTCACAGGTGACTCAATGGCAATAAAACAACAAGGCTAAAGGAAAGAGAGGAAAGTGAGAGGCAGGGCAGCCTAAACCCAAGAGGAATAACCAGGAGAGAGATCAGGCCGAAGATGGCAGAATGGAGGAGGGACACACTGAACCTTGCTCACTGAGGTCCCAGAGAGGGCAGGCCCAACAGGTATGTGGACATAGATCACCCCAGGGAGCCCCAGACATCACTGCAGGGAAAGGTCTCAGGGAGGATGGGTGGTGCAAAGATTAGGAGGTCCAGAGCCTGGGGGGAAGAAACACAGTCACCACTGGCATGCACTGTCCCTCTGTCTGTCTACCCACCCCAGGAAACCCATATATTTTTTTATATGGTGGAGGGCACCTGCCGAGGTCCTGGCTCCAGAGACATGTTGAATGAATGACGGAGTGAGTAACCAAATAAGCAGAGGAATAAGACAGTGGCCTCAAGGGAAGGAGGTGAGTGAGGTAAGAGTTGATGGTGAGAACAAAGCCACCGGAGGCCTCTGAGCAATAGAGAGGCCATGGAGCTGGGAGGACAAGGGGGAGGAGAGGGCAGATCCCTTCCATCAAAGGGAGGATCTGAGGACTAGAAGGGAACGGGAGGTGGTGGCATCTAAAAATGGCACCTCCCAGATACCCTTCAAACCTGGAACTCAACCGAGTGGCATGGATCACCTTTCAGACAAACCAGAGCCTAGGAGCATCAGCCGTACAAGCCCCAAAGGGCAGCATTAGGCAGAAAACAAAACTCAGGATGCAGCAAATGGCAGGAAAGGGCAAACAGAAACAGGGTGCCTGGGAAGGAAGTAGGAAGTGGGTTGTTACACTGTGGGGGCAGTAATCAGTGACTTCAAATGAAACATGCACGGCTTTGAAAGGAAAGCATATTTGCTCTTTCACCCAAAACAAATAAAAAAATGGCAGCCCCTCAAGGCCACGGGACACGGAGGTACAGGGGAAGGGGACAGTGAGAAGCAGGAGTAGGCAGTGTGAGCCACCCGGGGAACACAGAGGGGTCCCATCCAAGCCCATGGTCAGTCAGCATGAACGGGGCAGGACAGGCCAGGGCCAAGGCCAGGGCCACACCTACAAACCTGGGAGTAGAGAGTGGCATGGACCCAGGCGAGGCGGCGACTCAAGTGGTCCAGCTTTTCTGAGAAAACCTTCTGGCTCTTGGTCAACTCCGCAAGAATGTCCTTCCTCTGCCACACCAGGGGAAAGAAAGCCATCAGGGTATAGCAATCCGGCCCAGCTCCCTGATGTCAGGCCCGAGTTCTGTCATACTCGTACTCTTGGAGGGGACACTCTGCTGTTGCCAGTTCAAGCTAGGTCTTGCTTTGAAACCCAGTTTTCACTGATTCAGTGAGTATGGGCAAGCCTCAGCATAGGTCATGGGATCCCCACAGGGGATGGAATTAAGATCCAGCTGCAGGTCTCTACGCCCTCAGAGGGGCACCCTTGGATTCAGCATAAGAACTGTAGCTCCAGCAGCTGTTGTTGCCTGGGCCAGGCTCAGACTACAGGTGTGGGCAGGTGAGGCTGCCAGTGAAGCCCAGGAGAGGAGCCCCACCCCCAAGACGGGGACAGGCACAGCAGAGGGGTTGGTGCAGGGGCCAGGCCTTGCTTCCTGCTGAGTCCGCAGTGTGGCCTGGGCAGCACTCAGGGCTGCATCCATAATTGATGAGCAGAGTGGGTGCGCACCGGCACTTAGTGGCCAGGCGGGGGTGGGGGCAGGGGCACCCTGGCACAGGCTGCAGCCAGTTAATGGGGCTTATGCCGCGCTGGACCCTGCTGCCAGCCCCCAGTCCCCAGCTCACTGTCACGGTTTGGTCAGAGAGGAAGCCGAGACAAAGAACGATGCAGCAGCCCTCCAAAAGGCCAGCTCAGAGTGGCCCAGATTTCCTTGTGGATGATCCCCAAAGACCCACTGGCCTGTTGAGGGCTTACCCACTTGGGGCACCGGCGGATTTTATCTTCTGTGTCCCTGAGAGCCATCGCGTACTCATTGACATCATCAGACACGCCCACCATCTAGAGTGTTAGGGACCATAAACCAAGCGTGACCCCGGGGCACCTTCAGGGCTAGCTTGGACCTCAGTCCTCACACTCTCAGGCCCAGGGCACCCCACCAACAACTTAGCAAGGCCAGGGTCAAATGTTGGCAGAAACCATTCGTACTCAGGTTTGCTCACTTCCAAGCACACCTGTAAACCTGCACACACACACACGCACGCACGCACACGTGCAGACACCTTCCCCCTGTATGGATGGCCAACAGCAGCGTATGACCTTGCCCAGCTGCTGGTGGACGCTGAGATTATACATCATGATGGCGCCGTCGAGGACTTCCAGCAGCGAGTTCTCTGTAAGGGGCTGCTCGGGCTCCTCGGGCAGCCGTCCCAGCAGCAGACCCTCGTTCCAGGGGCTGCCCTCAACTGCGGAGTGGGGGCAGGACAGGGGCAAGGTCAGGGTCAGGGCTGGAGTTACCTTTCTCCTAAAACCGCGGGACCAGAAGGCGCCTCAAAGCAGAGGGGGTTCCATTCCCCCTATCCCTGTGCCCAAGGAGGAACCTGTGGGGGAGGACATAGGAGGGCCGGGGCGAGGTCCTGCAGCTCAGGACCTATTTCTGTAACATTGATTTCCTGCCCGCAGACTGCGCTTCCTACGCCCTTGAGATGCACCTAGGCTACAAAGCAGGGAGGGCAGAGCGTGGGGGCTGTATGTGGAGGAAGGGTCTTTCTGTGCCCTGCCAGGGGCCCCGCCTGGCACCTACTGTCCTCACGGGTCCTCTGCTCTGCGCTCAGCGTGCGGACCTTCACTTTGTCCGAGGTGCTCAGGGGCCGCCGTGGGGTCATGAGGCTCATGGCCGCTGTGCTGAGGAAGCGGTTGGCTCGACCCAGGGTTGGGGAACTGAGCCAGCCGGGCCGGGGCAGGGGCAGTGCTCCCCCCATGGCTAAGGCCTGCATGGGGCGCTGCGGTGGAGAGAGGAAGCCAGAGGCCACTCAGCTCCCTAGGACGGGGCGCCCTTGGGGATCCCCAGGTTCCTGTCTCCACCCACAGCCAAGGGCATGTGCCTAGAGAGACACCCTTTGCCCACATGGAGGGGGACATGACTTGTGTGGTCCCTCCCACCCACATGACAGAGGAGCCCCCCGCCTGCCCCTACCGCGGCACCTGGGCCGCAGCTGGGGCCAGCTCCCCATCCTCATCCTCATCCAGGTCGTCCATGGTGGCGGCCTGGAGCTCCAGTGGGTCGATAAGGATGTTGGCCTTGGAGGCCAGGTCATCTAGGAGGAAAGCAGGAGGGCTTTCAGGCAGAGGAGGGAAAGGGCAGCCAAGGGCAACTTCCCAAGGCAGGAGAGCAGCACTGGGCAGCCGGCAGGTGGCGCCGCAGGACCCGCTGACCACCATGCCTGTCCTGTGCCCCTCGGCCAGCTTTCACACTGCAGCCCAAGGTCCCCTAGTCTCACAGCTTCTCTTCAGCAGGCTGTACTCTCCCATCAGTCCCTGGCATTGGTGCTGTGACTTCACATTCTCCAGGGCCTCTCCTACATCTGTCACTTCATCATCTTCTGTCTCTGGTCCCACAAAACATGGAGATTCCCAGAGTGCTCACCTCACATGGAACCAACCTGCCCTAGGTTCCTCCTTCTCCCTGTGCAAACAGCTGACCCAACCCCTCTGCCTGCAGTCCAGGCTTTGCATCCAGCAGTGTCCCCAGACACCCCAAACACACCAAGTCTGACCCTAAACTTGCCCCCCTCAACTCCTCCTGCAGCTCCTCTCCCTGCTGTAGACATTCTCCACAGTAGCCAGACAGCTTCGTAAAATGCAAATTCCCTGGTATAAAAGCTATCACCCATGAGTCCTATGCTCCTTACAAAAATCATTTTTATCAGACCAAAAGACTAGCATTTATTCTAAAGCCAGGATCAGAAGGCACTGTGACAGCGACAACCAAAATGGAAATAAAGAGAAAGCTGACACAATACAATCAATGTCATGAATTAATTGTGTAGAAGTTGTTGCAGAATTTCTTGTGTAACCTTCACTGAAAACACAATTGCACTCTTTTATCTACTGCATACCCTGCCTGAGTGAAAGCCCATATCTGCTGTGTGGTCTCACGGCCCTGAGACTCTACCCAGAGACCCCTGCGCCTCCCCTGACCCCTTGTCCTCTACACCCCCACTGCTGTCTGTCTCCAAGCTTCCTAGGGCTAGTCTGTATCCTTGTTTTGGCTCACGCCGTGCCATCTGGCCTTTCACAGGACCACTTGAGCTCCTTCCTGAAAGCAGTTCAGGCAGCACTATACCCCCTAAGATCCCAGTTGCCCCCTCTACCTCCTTATTTCATTATGGGGCTGCCAGCCTTCCATCCTGGAGCAGCACCTCCCTGCTCTAGCAGTATGAGGTCCTTGGGCTCCCTCTGGTGAGCACAGGACAGTTCTGCACCCATGCCTACCCCAGACCCTCTCACTGCGTACCTTTCAGGGTTTTCCGAAGGTGTGACAGAAGGCCCCCAAGGCGCTGCAGATCAAAGTAGTCTACTTTGCCATTGTAGAAGATCTGAGGTGGGATGTAAGCCTCTGCAAAGAGTTGTGCAGGACAAGTCAACAGTCCAGTCCCAGCAGAAGGACTTCACCCTAAATCCTAGCACTTCTGGCCAAAGGCCCTGGGCCCTTGGCCTTGGCCATCAATGCAGGCACACTATGTGGTCAGCACCTGCCCCACCATTTTTATGTCAGTTGTCTACAAATGCTCAATTTGGGGTGAAGGGCACCCTCTTGGCCGCCCAGCAGTCCCAGCCCCATGGGACAGCCCCCAATCCAGGGAAGGTGAGGATCCCAGTGACTCTTGGGAACAGTGCATTACACAAAAACAGGGCTCCCAACTTCCTAGAGCACTACAAAGGGATGTTCAGGGGCAGTCAGGGCGGGGCGGGCAGGAACCTGTGAGGACAGTCTGTGAACCTGGGCCCCTGCTGACCCAGAGGGAAGGCCATTGGCTCTGCCCAGAGGTCTGGCTCTGCCCAGCCTTGCTGGCCTGAGGCCTTGGCCCCACTCACCCTCACTAAACGATGCCCGGGGGTTTGAAGCCTTGTATTCATCCCAGTAGTAACGCAGGGCAGAGATCAGCCGGTGCAAAAAGCAGACCATGTATTCAGGGGGGCAGAGCATGGGCATGTTCTGTGGGCACAGGGCACAAGATGTGCATCTCAGTAGCACAGTCTAGGTCCATCCTCGTCAGAGGCTCTGTGCCAGGAGTCGGGGCTGAGGGGCACAGGCTATAGGGCTGGGCTAGGGTGAGACAGGCTGGCAGGGGCCAGAAGCCAGGGGCTTGGTCTCAGCACCACGACCAGGGTCTGATCACATGGGCACCTACCCCTCGGCCACTAGCGTTTTCCTGCAGAAACTTCCGGAACTTGGTCAGGAAGATGTACCTGGAAGCTTCGCCCTTCCAGGGAAGGTAAGACAAGGCTGTGATACGCTGAGAATGATCCCCAGGCTGGGCAAGCTCAGCAATGTCAATGACCCTCGTCCCTTCTGGGGGCACCTGCACCAGCCCCTGTCCTCTGAGTCCAACACAGCACCCTTCCCCCTCCGGGATCCAGATGTGAGCCTGCACGTGACTCACCCCATTGTCGTCCTTATTGTTCAGAAGGAGCTTCAGGATCTGAACCTGCAGTTCTTCTACCACTGGAGGGTGGAGGGGTAGAGGGAATGAGGGGACATGGCAGTGACCCCTGCTCAGGCTAGGCTTTGCCACTGGATTTAGGAAAGGGGTAGCAGGTGTGAGTTAAGAGCTCTACCACCAGGCTTTTTGAGCGCAACCTAGTGCCCCCAAGTATGTATGTGCACGCATCCCCTACCCTGACCCAGTGCCCAAGTCAGAACTGACCTTCGATGCGCTTCTTGAGCCTCTGACAGCCCCGCTCGTAGGCCCTCCGCCTCAGTCGCTCCTCCGCCGTCTCCTCCTTTACTTCCTTGCCATCTTTGCCCTAGGCCAAGATGAGTATAGGAGACAGCAGGATTGATCTACTTCAGACAGAGGATAACTACATCTACAACCCATAGCTCCAGGGACCAGAGCTGGAGCAAGGGCCTCACTCGCTGAGTGCCACGCAGCCCAGACTTCCAGGATCAGCCCTCACTCTGCTCTGCCCACCCACACAGGCGGCCCACCTCCCTGCTGGAGCGGTGCGGCCACCAGGTGGTGGGGATGAGTTCCTGCAGGCCAGCCTCCTCCACACGTAGCGGGCTCTTGATGTAAAAGAAGACGACAGAGCGGAGCACGTCGAAGCTGGTGGTAGTCAAGGCAGAGCTCCATTCACCAAAGGGGGCACTGCACACCCTCACTGGTCCTTCCTCATCAGTCCTCCCAAACACCACCCACTCTCGTGTGCCCACCATCTCTTGACCCTCACAAGTGCCACTGCTGCTGGCTTCCTGTCTCTTCAGACCCTGAGCCCTCAGGAGGGGCTCCTGTTGAGAGAGAAATGCCAGGTGCATGAGAAAGGTATGTCATGAGAACAGCTGACTGAGGAACAGGCTATCCAGAGGGTCTGCTGGCCACCTTCCCTGAGCCCAACTCTGGATGCTGGGCCCCCCAGCTTTGTTTCTGCCTCCAGGTGGCTAGATGACCCCACACCCAGAAGATGGCCGAGATCATGGGTTTTCCGGCCAGGAGCCAGAGCGTGGTTCTCCCTCCTGCCCTCAGAGGTCTCAATGTTTGGAGAAAGCAGAAAAAGTGGTCTCCTTAAAGGTCTCATAGGAACTCTGGCCATGGGACGTGGGTAAGAACTCAGTGCTTTGGCAGGAGAAATCAGGCCCCGGTGGCCCTGCACCTCCATGTGGCCCAAGTGTCTGCATCACCTGGAAATGCTGCCGAGTGGGCTAGTCAGCCTTGGCCTTTGACCTTCCCTACCTTGTAAAGAAAATGCAGAAAAGATCGGGCCGAGGGACAAGGACTCACTAATGGGAGTGGCTCTGGTCTCCTTGAACTTCCCCAGGTGCCCCTAGACAGGTGAAAATCGCCTGGTCTCTGCCAACCCTGGCAAGGGCACCGCATGTGGAGGATACAGGACATTGCTAAGCAGAAACTTGCGGGACTTCTCATGCTTCAGGATGGCGATAGTGAGTCGCAGGTAGTGGATCTGTGGGACAGGGGTGCTCAGAATGGGTGGGCAAGCCCCAGGACCGTCCGGGTGGGGTGTGGGTAGGGCGGGGTGCCCACCTGCAGACTCAGGTCTGGAACGATGGGTGAGAAGCGGTAGAGACGCAGCAGGGACATCATGAGCTGCTTGAGGCAATCCTGCACCTCATATTCCTGTGGGAGAACCAGCTGCACGTCCACTCTGCTGAGAACAGGCCCTGTGCCTGGGCCTCCTCCAGGCCCCCCTGTGTATCTCCCTCCCTGGTGGAGCCTCATCTCGCAGCCCAAGCTGGATTCGAGGGTCTCACCTCCATGAAGAGCCACAGGAGATCCAGGACTTGATGCACCACGGACTGGGTCTTCGCGGGGGTGCCTGTCTCCACGACGGCCAGCAGGAAGCTCATGAGCACAGCCTCCACCAGGTACACCATGCGCTGCACCGTGGGAGGGCGCGTGAGGCGGACGTCTGCCACCCGGTCGGGCACCCAGGCCCGCCATGCAGCCAAGGTCATGCCTGGGGGGCTCAGGGGACAAGCACAGCCACTCTCTGGAGCCCCTTAAGCAACCTGAGCTGAGAGATGAGCCCTTCTCCTGGGTCCGACAGGAGGATGCCGAGGGCATCACTCCTCTACTGGTTTTCTTTCTAGGACATTCCCTGATGTCCTCAGGTAGAAGCAAGAGTCTCCTCCTCCCTGAGTGCTGTGTTTGGGGTCTGAGGACTTTAGTCAGGTCCCTGTCATGTGAGACCTCATACCTCAGCAGTGCAGCCCCTTTCATAGATAGGTACGTCGCCATGACCCATATCTTGCCCTCCCAGGTGTCCCCTTACCAGGAGGGGGGCAAAGCGGTGAAAGATGTGGGCCAGTGTCAGAAGGATGGTGGGCTGGCCTTGCAACTGCCACTCAGAGCTCTCCTTCTCCACCAGCCGTCCTTCCTATGTGAGGGGAGGGGGGCTGTGAGGGGCAGGGGTGTGTGTGAGGCCCTCAGCCTGCCCGGCCAGACCCCAGCTCACCACAGGGTCCAGTTCCACAGTGAGTACTGTCCGGAAGCAGCCAAGCAACCTCTGTGCCCGCACCAGGTCGGCCTGAGGTGGGTCTTGCAGGGGCCGGTAGCCTGCCACTGGGTAGGTACCACAGAGTTAAGCCAGCAATACCTGATCTATGGCCTAGACGCACCCGCCCGCTCTGCACAGACACCCTGGAGGGAGGCCTGGGTCATGGAGTCCAGTGGCCTCATCTGCACCACAACTCTCACTTATTTTCTGTGGAGGGAATGAAGATTCTCTTGCTGCTTCAGGCTCTTCCTCTGTGAAGTGGAGACAACAATGGGTCCCACCTAACAAGGTTCTCCCAGGGATTGCTGTCCTCAGCACCTGCCACTGGACCCTACTCATTCTTTAGGGCAGCTCTGTGCCTGCGATCCGCCCACAGAAGTCTTGGATCAGGCAGCTCTGCCCTCCAGCTTCCCCAAGAATGCCTGAGAGGCCCACAGCCACCTTCCCAAAAGGATATCGCAGGGGACGGCTGCCGAAGTTGAAGGCCACGGACTCCTTGAATGAGAGACTGATGGCTGGGAAGTAGGCCATGCCTAGGCCCCTGGACAGGTTCTCAAAGGCAGTACCCAGTGACACACCATTCCTGGATGGAAGGATGAGCTTGTAGACCAGCGCTAGGAAGGACGTGGTCAAAATGGGCTTGTTCGCTGGGGACTTCCCACCCTCAGACCAACACACTTGGCCCAGCCCCCATCTGGGGACAGGTGGGAGACTCACAGGCAGAAGGATAGGGTACCGTCGTCCAAGTCGATGAGGCAACTCACGATGTCCCCTGCAGCCCATGCCTGCCCAAGGGAGGAAGTCTTACAGACGTGCAGAAGCCCAGCTGCCTGGCTACCCTGTCCCTTCCACTATGGTCCCACTGCCACCCAGGGGAGAGGTCACAGTACAGAGGACCTGAGTTCCTGCCCCTTATATCCCCCTCTGATTCCTCATAGTTGCCCCACAGTGCCAGCCCTGCTATGGGATGGCCACGGGGCAGTGAGCTGGGCCCTCACCTTGCCATAATTTGTCGTGGTCACGTTCCACTTGCGCACCCGGTTTCCATCATAGGCGTAGGAGTTGTGTGTGTCTCCAACCCCCTCCTAGGGAAGAGCTTCCTGTGAGTTCCTGAGGGTCAAGTGGCAGGGCTGGAAGCCACGGGCCACCAACCGTGGCCCTATGTGCTTTGGGAAAAGGTGGCTGACGCTCTGAGGACAGGCAGGGTGCCCTGCAATCGGGCAGAGCCCATTCCCCTCTGGTGTCTTGGTTAGTCCCGAGCCGACCCTGGCCCTGCACAGACTGAGGGCTGCCTGAACCTGAACTCTAACACCACTTGCGGCAGTAGCTCTCCCTGAGGGGAGCCCCCCACCTGGTGTGTACCTCCTGATTGAAGCGGCAGTTGATGGTACACCAGCCGATCTGCATGAGCCCCTGGGAGGAGATGAGCACCTCGTATAGCCATTTTCCTACAGAGAGCCGAGTCAGGGACTTGGTCCTCACAGGGAACACAGCACCCATTGCCTGCATTCTCACACTTCTTCCCAAAGTCCACAGGCTACAGTGGAGCCGGCCTTACCTTTGTACACACAGGTCGTGGAACGGATTGTTCCAAAGTTGCTATGTCCGATCACCTGGGTGGAAAGCAGGAGTTGTGAGCCTCCTCCCAGGCACACAGAGTGCCTCCCTGGGGGAGACAGGCCCACCTCCACCTGAGCCAGCCTGAGGGGTGCTTGTCTATGGTAGCCAACACTGCACTGTGCCTCATGGGGCAGAGAAAGGACAGGCCTGAGTCAGGAGAACAGCAGGAGCCATGACAGGAGAAGCTGGGGCTGTCGTCACATCAAGAGATAATCAGGAAGGTATGGGGGCTGAGAATCAATGGTCTGAGGTCACACGAGGATGGATTTGTGGTTGTAGCCCCAGTAGGATGAGTGCAGACAAAGAACACATCAGGAGGAACGTGAGCCCTCACTCACCCCGAGGAGATCATCATCAACCAGAAGAAGCCCCTCAAAGCCACCCGTGTGGTCCAGCACCACAGTGGATGGGCCAAGACGCCCTTCATCTTGTCCTGGGAAGGGGAGAGGTGCGGGGTCAGGTGGGGTTTGGTAGAATGCATAGGGTGTTCCGAGTTCACCAGGGCAGCCCCAAGGCCTCCCCCAGGTCCCAGTCTCACCCATCTCAGAGGCTGCCACATACCCTGGCTTTCCTCATCTGCGTTGTCGACCTGCAGCAGCTGGTCCAGATGCTCTGGCAGGTTCTGGAAGTTCAGGGGTTTCCTGGGGAGAGTAAGAGGCTATGAGTGGTACACAAGGCCTTGAAACCTGTCGATGACAATAACCTCCACTCTCATCTGTTTCCTTCTGGGTTTTGTAACGGTGCTGCCCAGACTCCATGCTTGGTCCTAGAGTTTATCGTGCTGAGGATCAGAAAACGAAAAATCTAATCCCAGAGGTATGAAGTTCGAATGCACCAGATGCTCTGCTGGAGAAGGAGGGGCAATCTTGTACCAGTCAGATCTGATTTGACGCTACACATACACAAAAAATAGTTAAAAAAAAATCTGACAAGTTCGATTTGGTACCTCTCAGAACTGTCCTAAGTCTTTTTTTTTTTTGCAAGAGTTCTTTTTATTTTTCATTTCAATGAACATCTACAGAGATTTTGGAATTCCATTCATTCATTGTTGTACCCTTCTCCCCGCCCCCCCTTCCTCCCTCCACCCCCCCATTTGCTCCTCTCCTTGAAAAGCAAAAGAAAAACTCCCTCATTGGTACACAATCCCCCACACACATCCCCCAACCACACCCCAACCCCAAATATAATCCACTCTGCAACCCTTATTCCGTACTCTTACGATAAACATAGTGCCCTAAAATATAATACTTTTAAAAGAACTGTCCTAAGTCTTAACTCACTCATGTATAAAAGGGAAAGAATGCCTGCAAACCGGGGTTGCTGTGGATAGCAAGGACCAACACAGGCTCCCACGTAGCCCAGAGCTGCTCTCAAGGATGGCTGCTTTCATTTCGTCTGAGAGGAAGACTGGGGAGAGGTAATCTCCAGAGTGGTCAGTACCATGACCAGCTAGTCCAGCCTTAAGCCCAAGACTCAAGATTCCTTTAGGGATAGATCTCCAGCCTAAAGTCAGGGGAGACTTTGTAGTTGTTGCCAATTTACTATCTTGCTGACAGATAAAGGCCTCCACCTTCTGCTAACGGAACTGCTGCTGGCTCTGTCTTGCCCCCATTTGCCCATGGATGGATGGTCAATGAAGCACATGGCCACCTGCCCCGACTGGATGCCGCACCCCGAAACACACATGCACAGAGGAGAAAGGACTCCATATAATGCTGACTGGCTGTGTCCTGAGCTCAGCTGCTAATAATAGCAGGGCATGGGGCAGTGGCAACTAGTAGGGCTTGGGCAGAGCAGGGACCTTCTGCCGGCCAACACCTGTTCTTCCACCGCTGATCCTGACTCTTACCCTACTTACTGACAAGAGGGGGCTCCAGGAGGGGAGGTGGATGGGCCAAAACAACTCTCTGGCAAGTGAGCTCCGGCTCAAACTCAGGGATCCCACATTCTCCTGCTGTAACCCACTACTAACCCTGAAGTACAGGAGGTAAAGACCAGCGAGTGGCCCCAGAGTGGGGTTCCCAGCCACCACTGTGGAAGGCTACAACCAAGCCCATCTGTGATGTGCCCAGTGGGCTCAGGGCTAATAGAGGCTTCTTCATTATTAGGTCTTGTGGGCTCACGTCAAGAGAAGGCTACTGCAGTTTTGCTGCTGTCCCCAGTGGCACGCACGAGGACAGCGTGAGTTGTCATCTCCACTGAGCCCCCGCAAGCACCCTGTCTGGCCAGCTCCAGCACTAACTGGCATGCCCCTCCTGGGTTTCCCGAGGGCCTGCATGCCCACAACCCAACTGACGGCCCCGTCACCTGCTCCTCCTCTTGGCACGCATGACACTGGCGGTGGCATGGCCATCTCCGGTATCATTAAAGGCAGGGATCAGATGGCCCCTCGGAACAGGCCCAAATGGGGGTTGGGGTGGGGGGTGGGCAGTCATCCTCCAAAAGTAGGAACCCTCTAACTAGTACAACCCCTTAAACGGAATAGGTGGTGATGCCAACCTTGGTGTCTTCTCGGGGACCTAAGGCTGCTGAGGGGCAGAGAAGCTGGACCCTCAGGCCTGTGTGGAGCGAGGACTTACGTGACCCTTTGAAGAAGTTAATTTGGCAACAGCTTTAAAAGTGATTAAAGGTCAATTTCTCTCACCATATGATTCCAATTCTGAGCATGCATATTCTCGTAATATTGCCCACAAAGGACAAAAACACTCCCAAATCAAAGTAGTGTCGGTGGCCACAGCAGACCCCAAGACTAAGGGACCCCCATGCAGATTTGAGTTGTAATGTTTCTTTTGACACATTTGTGAGTAAAGTATGTGGTAACAAAAACAGAATTCAAAAATCTACACTTCTTGAGGTGAGGGGCATGTTATCTTGATGGTGTCATGGATGACATGTATGTCAAAACCCCAGCTGTAACTTTAAATATATGCTCTTCAGTCTCCATGTCAATTATACTGCAATAAGGCTGTTTTTAATCTCTTTTTTTTAAAAAAAGAGAGAAGTGGACTTAACAGAAGTGCTTGCTACAGAGGGTCAAGGACTGCAGCCCCCAATATGGATTGAGGTTCAATGTCAAGAAGACAAAGATTCTCACCACTGGACCAACTGGCAGCATCAGGATGGATGGTGAAGAGACTGAGATTGTTCACAGATTTAGTTTGCTTGGCTCCGTGGTCAACACTCTTGGCACCAGTAGCCAGGAAATTAAAAGACGTATCGTCATGGGAAAGTCTGCTGTTAGGGACCTCTTCAAAATACTGAAGAGCAATGGTGTCTCTCTGGAGACTAAGGTGCGCCTGATACAGGCCATGGTCTTTGCTATCACTTGTTATGCATCAGAGAGTTGGACAATGACTAAGGAGGATAGAAGGAGAATTGATGCCTTTGAGCTGTGGTGCTGGAGAAGAGTACTGAGGGTACCATGGACTGCTAGGAAAACAAACAGATTCATCCTGGAAAGGGGTAAACCGGGCGGCTCCTTGGAGGCAAGGATTCTAAGGCTCTGTCTAAGACACTCTGGACATGTTTTAAGGAGGGACTGCTCCTTGGAGAGGGACAATGCAGGAGGGGAAGGCCCTCTATGAGGTGGACTGACTCAGTGACTAGGGTAATCGGGATGGGTGTGTCGGAGACAGTGCGACTGGCACAAGACAGAGCAGAGTTTAGGGCTGTTGTACACAGGGCCACTATGAGTCGCAGGCGACTCAACGGCCCATAACAACAATACCCTATTATCTAAAAGTGCATATGATACGTTAGGACATTAAAAAAACAAAAAAACAAAAACAGAAAGGAGTAATACTCAAATAGATACAAGCAGACAGTGCTTTTTCTAATTTCATCTATTTCTAAGTTTCTGTTATAACTTCTGTCAGACTAAACATCAACGCTTACACATTTGGCAGTGCATGAACTTAACAAGTTTTGGCAGAAGTTATAAGGGGCTGGGGGAGGGAGTGTGGTATGGATGGGTGGGCATAAGATGTGATGCTAAGTAAGGAGTCACAGGTGTGATGGTGGGCGCTGGACATCCACGTCCCCTTGTCCTCCCTAACGCCCTCAGTAGGAGGGTCTAGCACTGTCTGGAGAAATGAAGAAGTAGAACCCAGAAACTGAAGGTCTTGGACTGAAGGTGAGGATGAAGCCCAATCCAGCCTGTCTGGGGTCAAGGCTGCCCCTCCTCACGACTCCAGCCTCTGGTGTGTGTGATGGATTTAGGTACATCTCCAACCATACCTGCTGGTGGCTGCGGGGGACCGCTGATCGGGAGAGGAGAAAACACGGTGCAGGTAGTCACTCAGCAGCTTCTCATGCACGATACCTAGACCACAGGTTAGAGGGGAGAAGAGGGTCATGTGGTAGTTCAGCTCGTGGCCTTTGCTGGCCCTAGAAGTCCTCGGCCAATCCCAGCAGTCGGAAAGACCATCCATGCTGGGTGCACTGCTCCTTAGAGTCGCAAACAAGTGGGGACAGCTGGGCCTGCAGCTGGTCAGAGCCGGGCCTTTGTTGCCTCTGCCCCTTCCTCCCAACACAATGAACTCCCTCCCAACCCTTACCTGTGACCTTGGCATCTGAGGTCAGCCTATAGCTTTTTCGGGAGAAAGACACGCCGGACCCTTTGGACGCCATTCTTCATCTCTCAATGGTCCTGGGGACTGAGCCAGAGGCAGAGCTCATTTGCTTGAAGCCAGCCAGGAGCCCCCACACTTGACCCCAGTCATGGAATGGCAAGAAGGCTTGGGGCAGATGAAGACAGGTGCAGCCATACACATAGCAACCCAGGCCCGGGGCTTCCAGCTTCCTAAGCAGGGAGGGTGGGTGGTATCCCTGGGCACTAGGCCTACGCCCTTGTGATAGGAACAAGGCCCTATTTCTTCTGTTGGTCAGAGACATATTTGCTGAACCACTAAATGTCTTGATTTTGGACAAGTCAGACTAATGTCCAAAGTGAGGCAGCCCTGTAATCAACCTCAGCTGTAAGTCCTATGAGGTCCAGCGCATACCCAAAGAACACTACACCACATCCCCCAAGAGTATTGCGCCATTGACAGGCTTGGGACCATCTTCTGTCACAGTCCTGCGGACACCCTACAGTCAGTCTCTAATTCAGTCCTGTTATTTGCTGTTGAATTGGAATTGATCCATAGCTGATCCTCCTGCAGGTTTTCGGAGGCAGTAAATCACACAGGAAGAGACTGCAAAACATTCTCCCTCAGAGCATCTGGTGGATTTGAACCGCGTGCCTTTGGGACTGTAGCACAGTTTTTACCACTAGGTCCCTTCAGAGTTCCCTTTAGCCCTAGGATTCCCCCCACCCCTAGTCCTCAGACCTAATTTCTGTGTTCCTGCTTACACACAGCCCCTGCACCCCATGTGAGCCCCCTGTTTGCTCAGTCCTCATCAAACGCCATACTGCTCTTTCCCCAGCAGTCCATCCTCAAGTACCACACTGATGCCCAGTTGCTCTACTACCTGGACTCATCCCCTTCTACTGGCCGCATGATCTAAGGTGTGCTGTCTGATACAGTGGCCGCAAGACACATGTGGCTATAAATCTGAATTTGTTAAAGTTTTAAAGAATTACAAAGTTTATTCCTCAAACTTACTAGCCTCACTGCAATGCTTCCACGGCCACACGTGGCTCCTGTGCAGAATAAGCGCACAGACAGGCCATTTACATCACTGGAAGAAAAAAAGTTTTCTTAACTCGGGCTGGTCTAGAGCCTGGCCCTCCAGCACTGCCTCTACCCCAACGTCTTTCTCTGGAACTCAATTTATTATCTCGTTCCACACAGGCTCTGTTCCCGCCACACACTTCTGCCATTCACAGTCCGCACCGAGGAAGGTGACTCCCTGGCCCGAACTCACATCCCGGGCACTCAGCGTGCGTCCATGACCGCTGTTCCCCTCACAAGCGAGCAGGTGCAAGGATGATCAGATGAGGTCACTCATCCAAACAGCACGCCTTCCACGCTGAGTGTCAGGTGCTGAAGACCCAGGTGTGAGGCTGACCCTGATGCCACGGGGTCCCCTTCCAGCCTCGGCGGGGATCGGGGCTCAGAACCTAGCCATATCCCGGTCCCAGGGCCCAAGGACGCCGAGGCCAGCGCTTGGCTCCCCTAAATAGCCCCTGCCCGGCCCCAAAATGCAGAGGACCCTCCAGGTCAGTTCCTATCCAGGGTCCCGCGCCATAGGCCGCGGTTCTCGCGCAGCGGGCGCCCTAACAGTGAGCTAGCCGAGGCCGCGAGAGGAGCCACGGGCACCGGCCTCACTCAGAGCCCGATTGCCCCTCACTCACCCGAAGCCTCGGTGGCCTCGTCCAGGCTCACAACATCCGCCCAACCTTTCAGCTACGGCGCCCGGGCAGGGCCAAACTCCGCGCCCTCCCGCGCGCCGCGCCGCCCGCTGCGCACGCGCACAGGCACGGCGTCCACTAGGAGGCCCCCTTCACAGTCTCCCGCAGGTTTGTGCTGGCCTCGGCCTCATCTGTGCGCCCCACCACTCCACAACCTTCCAGTCCCAGCGGCGCAGGCGATTGCTTTTAGCTCAGCTGTGGAGGAATGCAATGACTTAGTTGGGGGCCTCTAAGCCCCCTTTCTCAGCCCTAACTGCACTTAGAGCCCTCCCCAGATGTTCGCTAGGATCTGCAGGGGTCACTCTAACCCCTCACCTGCAACCCTGCTCCCATTCAGACCCACCGGGAGACTTCACTCACCTTCCTTGAGACGGCACCTCTGAGGAGTGTTCTCTTAGCTCTGGTGTCAGGGGCGTGGGCCTGACCTACCACAGCTGGGGCTGATAAGAGAGCAAAAGGGGGCTGGCAGGGTCAGGGTAGGGGAAGGGAACATTATCTACAGGAGAAAACTGAGGTTCAGATGTTTCATGTCACTACTCAGAGGCTAGAATCCCATGGGCTCTGGGGGCAGCAGAGTCTACAGAAGGGCTTCACTCCAACCCAGGATGCCGCAGGTCCATTCACTTAACTTTCCTAACACCTGCCCCCTAGGGCCAGTTCATAAGAATGCGTCCTAGCTAGGAGTCTACCTGCTGCAGAATAAGGGCCCTTTCATCAGACCAAGGGACCTGTGAGTGGCCCCACACCTTTTTTCCTGCCTGCCCCCGTTTTGTTTTGGGGTTTGTTTTTTTGAGGGGGGGGTTTCCCCTACATCTTCTTTCCACAGACTCTCTGGTCAGTATAAGGTTGAAAGCAAAAGGATTCCATCTTGCTGACTGTTGTTGTTACCTGCTATCCAGTTGCCTGCAACTCACAGTGACCCTATGCACAATAGCTCTGAACCCTGTCCTATCCTGAGCCAATCTCACTGTCTCTGAAACACCTGACCCTACTGCTCCAGCCCCTATCAATCCATCTTATCCAGGGTCTTCCTCACCTGTATTGTCCTTTTACCCTTCCAAGCACAATGTCCTTCTCCAAGGACTTGATCCCTTCTGACAACATGCCCAAAGTACATGAGATAGAGCTTCAAAATCCTTGCCTCCAGAGAGCAACCTGGTTTCAACCTGTCCTCTCTGGGACAGACCCGTTTGTTCTTTCGGCAGTCCATGGTGTATGTTCAATACTCTTTCCTAGCACCACAGCTCAAAGACATCAATTCTTCTTCTGTCATTCTTATTCATTGTCCAGCTCTCTGAAAAATAGCAAGTAATTACAAAGAGCACGGCCTGGATCAGGGGCACTTCAGTCTCTACTGTTGTTGTTGATGTGTGCCATCGAGTTGAAACTGATCTCCCAGCAGGTTTGCAGAGACAGTAAATCTCAGGAGAGAAAATTGTCTATCCTTCTCCCACACGGGAGTTGGTGGAGTCAAATGGTATGCCTTTGGGATTACAATGCAGTTTTTTACCACTAGGCCACCAGAGTTCCCTGATCTCTACTGTTATGTGCCATTGAGTCACCTACGACTCATAGTGATCCAATGTACAACAGCCCTAAACCCTGCTCTATCCTGTGCCAATCTTATTGTCTCTGACACACCAATCCCCACTACCCCAGTCACTGAATCAATCCATCTCATTGAGGGTCTTCCTCTCTTGCCCTGTCCCTCCACCTTCCTAAGCATAACATCCCTCTCCAAGGACTGATCCTGCCTTGCAACATGCCCAGCTTATGTTAGACTAAGTTTCAGAATCCTAGCCTCCAAGGAGCAGCCTGGTCTCACCCTCTCTAGGATGAAACTATTTGTTCTCCCAGCAGTCCATGGTCTATTCAATATTCTTCTTCAACACCACAGCTCAAAGGCATCAACTCTCCTTCTATCATCTCCAGTCATTGTCCATCTTTCAGATGCATAGCAAGTAATTGTAGACTATGGCCTGGATCAGGCACCCTTTAGTGTCCAGACTGACATTTTTGCTCCTTAGTACTTTGGAGAGGTCTCTATTAGCTCCACCTAAATAGATCACTTTGTACTAGTCTGTTCCAAAAAACAGTAAATCACCTGGTTAGTGTATGGCTTACACTTGAATACTCCCAGATATGGTTTGTGATCTTCTCCATGTTGTAGTTCATAGTTAAGGTCAGGGGTGGTGGAAAAATGGGAAATAATTCCAGGCCCTGGAAACTACTGTGACTACCCCAACTGGACAGTGAAGAATTGGTAATACTCCACTCCTCTCTTGGTTTGGGGCTGATGCTACCTTAAGCCTCAGCCCACTTTCACCAAGGTGTGCATTTTAAACAAAGTATATTTAACATACACTCGTATTGCTCCTGGACATCAAAGTAGGTGTGGACCTTTCAGTCAGACCTCGGCAGCCCAGGAGTTGGGGGTGTGGAGCCAAAGATACCCAATCCTGTAGAAAGACAAGTTTCACAACTTCCCGGATGAGGGTGCAGTAGGTCACAGTGCAGCTTCCGGCCAGGAGGATGGAGTGGCTCCTGGTTCTGTTGCTTCTGCTGCAATGCCCGGGTGTCCCTGGTGAGTTCCTCCCACCTTAATCAGAATCTTCCTTTAGGAGAGGCTGGTCCCAGGCTCATCCTGCTTTTTGAAGCAGAAGCTCATTTTCTTACAGGCATTGGGCAATGAGTGACCTTGGCCTTTTGTGTAGGGTCAAGCAGCCCTGGAACTACACATACTAACTACCCTTTATTTACACATCTGGTGTAGCATTGAGACAGTGTTGGGGCCAGGCAGAAACAGGCAAACATACGGGAAGTCATAACCTGGAACATGTTCCTCCTGCTAGCGAGAGCCCAGATTAAATGAGTCAAACCAGAATGCTTGAGCTGGGCTATGTGGGTTTGATCTTTGATATTTCCATATGAGACATGAGTTGAGGCAAAGTTTGTAGACTTTACCACTGCCTTCATAGAGCGTATATATTTAACTTGAGTCCATTGCCTGGCCCCCTACAGAGGTCACTGGTGATAGCTACCACATCTGGGCTTTGGTCCCCCACCCCCACCCCGCGGGAGGAATGAGCCCTTGAATGTGATCAAAGGGTCTCTCCCAGAGGCAGTGGAGCTTGGTCTATCGCATAACCAAATGTGGACTCATGGATACACTTGTATGTGGGTACACATGTATGCCCCCCTGCCTTGTGTCTATCACATGCCCATCCCACAGGGCAGCGCTCAGGGCTGAATGACTTCCAAGTGCTCCGGGGTACAGAACTTCAGCACCTGCTACACTCAAGGGACCCTGGAGCTTGGCAGGAGAATGTGCGAGACGCTGAGGAGTGTGCCAGGCGCTGTGTGTCTCTTCTCGACTGCCGGTTAGTTGCCATGGGACCTACAGAAATGTGAGGCAGGGGAAATGTAGTCAGCTGCCAGTTGAACTCCTCTCTCTGCCTCCCCAGAGCCTTCCACTACAATGTAAGTAGCCATGGTTGCCAACTACTGCCGCGGACCCAGTACTCACCTAACACAAGACTACAGCGTTCAGAGGGCTGTGATCTCTTCCAGAAGAAAGGTGAGTGACAGGTGAGAGATGGGGCAAAGCCTGGGCCTCACGGCGCCTCAGGCTACCTTAAGTATCCATCTTTTCCTCCAAGACTATGTACGGACCTGCATCATGGACAGTGGGGCCAGGTATCGGGGCACTGTGGCCACCACCAAGAATGGTCTGCCCTGCCAACACTGGAGCCACAAATTCCCCGTTGACCACAAGTGAGACAGACATTGCCCTTCCATCCCTGCCTGGTCACCGCTCCAGCACAAACTGCATGCAACGCCTTACACATCCCGCAGGTATATTCCTAACCTCCGGAATGGCCTGGAGGAGAACTATTGCCGCAATCCTGAAGGGGATGCGGGAGGTCCCTGGTGCTACACCACAGACCCCAGAGTGCGCTTCCAGAGCTGTGGGATCCAGTCCTGCCGGGAGGGTAAGGACGTGGCGTGGAGGGCGGCGCTGGGTGTGCAGGGGGCAGGCCCATGCGCATCCAGTAATGGTCTGGCTCCCCCAGCCGCTTGTGTTTGGTGCAACGGCGAGGATTACCGTGGTTCGGTGGACCGCACCGAGTCAGGGCGTGAATGTCAGCGCTGGGACCTTCAGCACCCGCACCCTCACCCCTTCGAGCCCAGCAAGTTCGTGTGGACGGATGGATGCCGCCGGGTTAAAGAGGTGGAGGTGGGGGTCGGGCACGCCAAGGGAAGAACTGGAATGGGGGGGGGTGTCTGAGGGCCCGCTACCGTCCCCAGGTTCTTAGACAAAAGTCTGGACGATAACTACTGCCGGAATCCGGACGGCTCTGAGAGGCCCTGGTGCTACACCACCGACCCGCTGGTCGAGCGAGAGTTCTGCGACCTCCCCAGCTGCGGTGGGGCGCCCATGGGGTCTGGGCAGCTGGGGCAATATGGGGAGCATACCTAGAGGGGGCGGGGCCGGGCATGGAGTGGGTGGAGAGCCCCCCTCCCCAGGAATGGAGAACCTGGGAGGAACCAGCTCGGACCTAGCCTGGGTCCCCGTTCCGCTGTGGGTCCCAGCTGCTCCGTCCATCCAAGGGTCCGAGGCACAACCGCACCAGGAGGCCACCACGCTCAAATGCTTCCGCGGAAAGGGCGAGGGCTACCGGGGCTCCGCCAACACCACGGCGGCCGGTGTGCCCTGCCAGCGCTGGGACGCGCAGAGTCCGCATCAGCACCGCTTTGCGCCCGAGAAATACGCGTGCAAGTGAGGTGGTGGGAGGACGCGGGGCGGGGGGCGAGGTGGGAACTCCCGCGGGCGGGACCCGAGGCGGGTGGACAGGGACCCCACGAGGGCCTGCCTACGCAGGGACCTTCGGGAGAACTTCTGCAGGAACCCCGACGGCTCCGAGGCGCCCTGGTGCTTCACGTCGCGGCCGGGCATGCGCATGGCCTTCTGCTACCAGATCCCGCGCTGCGCGGACGACGTGCGCCCCGAGGGTGAGGCCCGGGAGGCGGGGACGAGCCTGGCCTTTGGGGAGTGGCGCTGCCTGAGGGGTCGAGCTGGGGTCGGGCTCATGGCCGCCTCCGCCTCCGCCCCAGAGTGCTACCGAGGCGCGGGCGAGCAGTACCGCGGTTCAGTTAACAAGACCCGGAAGGGCGTCCCTTGCCAGCGCTGGGCGGCGGAGACCCCGCACAAGCCGCAGTGAGTCGCCCCGGCCAGTGGTGGCGGGGGTTGGCCCAGAGGGGTCTGAGCCTCACTATGGGCTTTTAAGATCAGAGCCTAAAGAGAATTGGGGCGACCTGATTGTGACCACATTCCCTCCCATCCAGGTTCACGCCCACCCTGACTCCGCACGCCAAACTGAAGGAGAACTATTGCCGAAATCCAGACGGGGACCGCCACGGGCCCTGGTGCTACACCACCGATCCCCAGACCCTATTTGATTACTGTGCCCTGCAGCGCTGCGGTGAGCGCCGGCAACATGCCCCGCAGCCCTGCCCCACCGCCTGGGCCCGGCGCAGGGACTGGGGTCCCTTAACGCAGATGGACTTGTTCTTTCAGAGGACGACCGGCCGCCATCCATCTTGGATCCCCCAGGTGCGGGGCTGTGACAGGTGCGAGCTGGGGCCTTTAGTCCATCTGAGTCTCATCTAGCTCACCCTGCCCTCCAGGTCAGGTGCAGCTTGAGGAGTGTGGCCTGCGGGTGGACCGACAGCCCCAGATGCGCTTGAACTTTCGAGTGGTAGGGGGCCAGCCTGGGAACTCGCCCTGGACAGTCAGCCTGCGCAACCGGTGAGGCTCAATCCACTATCCACCGGGCACAGAGGCTGAGGCTGTGCCCCCTGGGGTTATGGAGAGTTGATGAGGACCTCTGCCAGGCCATGGCGGGCTGACCCAGCCACGCCTTCTATCCCATCCACCCCAGGCAGGGACAACATTTCTGCGGAGGATCGCTTGTCAAAGAGCAGTGGGTGGTGACAGCCCGCCAGTGCTTCTCTTCCTGGTGAGCCTTCTGTGTTTTGAGTGGGGTGTAGTCCTACCACTTCCTTTGCCCCTTCCCAGAAACTTTACCCAGACAAGCTAACAGGTGCTGCTTGGAACAGCTGACCAGGGCACATGACTGACCTCCCAGGGCTTCCCTCCTCAGCCATGTGTCTCTCCTGGGCTATGAAGTGTGGCTGGGCACCATGTTCCAGAGCCCACAGCCTGGGGAGCCTGATCTGCAGCGGGTCCCAGTGGCCAGGATGGTGTGTGGACCCTCAGACTCCCACCTTGTCCTGCTCAAGCTTGAGAGGTGGGTGAAGGGGTAGTGTGGGAGGTGGCGCCAGACCTTGCAGTCTCAGGCCTCCAGTGTCCACCTTTCCGCTGTAGACCTGTGACCCTGAACCAGCGTGTGGCCCTGATCTGCCTGCCCCCTGAGCTGTACGTGGTGCCTCCAGGGACCAAGTGTGAGATCGCAGGCTGGGGCGAAACCAAAGGTAGCATAGCATGAGGACATGGCTGGTTCTGGGCTAGGCCTGGCCAGCCCTGGGTCTACTCAAGAACCCTCTTCTTGTCCCCGTCCCTAATACATTGTAGGCACAGGTGACGCCACGGTACTGAATGTGGCTGTGTTGAGGGTCATCTCTAACCAGGACTGTAATGTCAAGCACCGAGGACGCGTACAGGAGAGTGAGATGTGTACTGATGGCCCGAAGGTCCCTGTTGGGGCCTGTGAGGTCAGTGGAGGGCACAGGGAGCTGGAAATGTCCTACTTCATCCCCAAGGGGGCTAGTCTCTGCTGAGGCCCAGAGTCTCCTTACCACTTTTCCTATCTGCCAGGGGGATTACGGGGGCCCACTTGCCTGCTTTACCCACAACTGTTGGGTCCTGGAGGGAATTATAATCCCCAACCGAGTGTGTGCCCGGGCCCGCTGGCCTGCCATCTTCACACGTGTCTCCATGTTTGTGGACTGGATTCACAAGGTCATACAATTGGGCTAGGCCTGGCTTCAACCCCATGCACCCTGAGAGAAGGATGGAGCTTCCTGGCAGATGTGTCGCCATCTTTCCTTCTTAAGCCTGTACGGAGAACTTCATAGCCTCTGCTTTTAGGAAGGGAGTTGTTAACTCCTCACTAGGGCTGCGTGGACAGTCTGGCCGTGGGATGACCTTAGCCTGTGGGTGCTGTGGGAGGAGTGGGCTCTCCAATCCCTTAGACACACTGTTTGGAGAAGGGTGGTGGAGGGCAGCTTGTGTCAGGAGGCTGTGGAAGAGGGAGCTGGCTGGTCCAGAGTTCCAGTCTGCCAGGACAGGCAGGGGCTCAGCAAGCCTTGCTGCCCTCACCCACACCCCCAGAGTTTGGTGTGGCCCTCATGGCTACTAAATCCACAGCCTAGAGTCTCTGAACCCCAGGCTGAACACTGGGGCTGGAGCTGACTTGGTATAAAAATATCAGCAAGAACCAGGGTCCGTGTCCTTATTTATTAAGACCGCACAGCTCACGTTCCTCAGACTAACAATCCATTAAGTCCAGAGCAGAGAAGCTTTACACACTTCTGCCAGGCCCTGGGGCTCTACAGCAGTGAAAAGTGGCAATTGCCAACCGCTCGTGTGGGAGCACAGAACTTCAGCTGCCCAAGTGTGTACGCAGCCAGAGTAGAGCGTTCATGAAGCTGTCCGACTCCACCTCCACCTCTGACAGCGCGTGGGTGCTCTTGGGGTAGAGCAGGAGCCTGGGGTGGTGAGGTGGCAATCTTTGAGTTTGGAGGACCCTCTCTTGCTCATCTGCCCACCAGCTCCCAGGGCTTACACTGCTGGACTCACCGAATGGGCACTTTCCGGGCCTTGAGGGCGCGGTAATACTCTATGCCCTGCTTGAAGGGCACACGCCGGTCCTCCTGGCCCAGCATCAGGAGCAGTGGAGTCTTTACCTGGGTGTGTGGAGAAGGAGTGGAGAGTGGTGGCGGGCAGGCACTTGAGTTTTAGATGGGCAGGTAGCAGGCAGAACAGGAAAGAGGGTCACGTACCTGAGGGACGTACTTAATGGGTGACTTGTCCAGCATCTCGGCCCACACGCTGAGGTCTGGCAGGCAGTCGTTTTTGTAGGGGAAACCAGCCTCCACCACACACCTGCAGGAGACAGAGCTGATGGCTGGAGGGGATGGATGGGATGGAGGGGGAGAGCGGGGGCCTGGGAGCACACGCACCAGTCAGGGATGTCAGTGGAGCCCATCATAGAGGCAATGTTGATCACTGGGTTCCGGGCCACACAGGCACTGTAGGTCTCCGGGTATTGACCAATCAGGTGGCAGGAGAGGAAGCCACCGTGGGAACCACCCATAAGGGCCACACGGCTTGCATCAAAGTGCTCCTCCTGGAGGACATGCTCCACTGCGAACTGCAGGCGGGACAGAGAAACACTGCAGCAGGTGCCTGTTGGGCTGGATGGAATTCTTCTGACAGCCCCCATTCAGGCCTGTCTCCAGCACCCCCAGTCCCCAGCTACCTGGACGTCCTTTACATCCTGGTGGCCTACGTTGCCTGGGAGGGAGAGGATGCTGTCCTGACCGAAGCCCGTGGAGCCCCGATAGTTCACTGGAGATCAGAGAGGGATCAGATAGGATGGTCAGATGACATCTCTGGCCTCCTGGATACCCACCTATCTGTGAAGTGGACCCTGGGACCAGATACATCACGAGCCATCAAAGCGGAGTGGCTGAGTCTTGTATAGTCCTGAGCTGGCCCACATTATTGCTACACTGTGATGCCAGAGGCTGGGCCAAGGGCGATTCCTGATTGTAGTTACCAGGTCCAATTGACAGAGGGTTTAGAGACAAGGTTGATACCCATGATGTTTAATGATGTTTATAAGAAGCAGATGGTGAACCCATCACCCCAACAACTGGCCACTCACCCAGTAGCACTGCAAAGCCCATCTTGCAGAGCAGAGCTGGGAACAGCATCCAGGCAGCAACAAAGGATGAGTGAGGGCCCCCTGGAGACAGGGAGCAGAGGGTGAAAGGGCCTGCGAGGAGGGCCAGGACGAGGGCCAGGGGTCTTGGCCAGACACATACCATGGGGCATGACCACCATGGGGACCTGGGTCTTATCTGGAGGGTCGCTTGGCTGCAGAAGGATTGCTTCAAAGTCAAGTCCAGCTGCAAGGAGAGGAAAGTGGTTAGCAAAGTCAATGCCACCAGCTAGGGGCTTTCTCAGTTAAGGGTTCAGCTGTAGCTACAGATTGGGGCTGAATTCTGATGCCAAGGTAGCCCACACTGTAACATAGGAGACACACACTCCTCCTGCTCCAGGCAGGGAGCCCCAGTCTGCAGGGACAGCATTCTGGAGGAGGTGTGGTCACAGAGGCTGTGTAAAGCCTGTCTTCATCAGGCTTTTTACCACTGATGAACTGGCCTGCGGGGGCCCGACTCTGATACCCAGAACATTTACTTAAACATCAGGACATGATCGCCCACAAGATAAAAAGAAAACCTCTTAGAGATGATGCAGGAAAGCACAAAATGTGAGAGGCAGAGGCAGGAACTGTCACTGTAAATGCTGGGGAGCTTGGAATGGGCGTCTGTGTGCCCTGGGGCCAACTCACCATACTGCACGTTCTCTTGCTCCGGGGGTGGCTGCAGCACCCGGATGCCCCAGTGAATGTCGGGAATAGGTTCAGCCTCCTCCAGGGACACCCAAACCACTGACCTCTCCTTGCCCGCAGGAGGCAAGAATCCAACTTTCTGTTGAGAGGAAGAAATGGTTCATTTGTATATGTGGCCTGGCTGTCTCCTTGCCCTTCTGCCTCTGCCTGGGGTAAGAAGTGGGCAACTCTCACCACGCTCACCCATTCGCCTCTAGAAAGCACAGTATCGCTGGTTTAAACACACACTCTCTCTCTTCTGGGCACTTCATGGGCAACTCTATCTAGAGTAGACTCTAGCCCAGGACTTCCTCCCCACAGATGCCAAATCCTCACAGACCATGTTCAGCATAAAGTCTTGTCTTGGCATCAACACATGCTGGCATGGCCAGAATGGGGCCTGCTGGCTGTCGGCGGCGGGGGAACTCTAGCCTGCATGGAACCCCTGCCTCCTGGCCCTGAGCTCCCCAGTCCTCACCAGGCTTGGGGGTTGGCTGGGTGTGGAGAACTGTGCCACCATCAGGTTCCGGTCAATTGTGAAAAGTTTCCAACTTCCAGCTGGCTCTACTGCAGGGGGCAGAGGTCACTAAGCACTGGCAGGAGTCACACTCCTCCCAACTCCCACCTTCAGAGTCCAAGCCCCAGTCAGGAGGATCTACAGTACAGCACCTCTCCCACCCTGAGGGGCAAAGGGACACCCCTCACAAGCACCCACATGCACACAGCCTAGGGTCAAACTCCCGCTCAGCTTACTGAGCAGACACTTGGCTGTGCCCCTTCAGATGCAGCTAGGCCAAGGAACACACTGGCTCACCACAGCACATGTGCCCTCAAGGACTAGAGGAGTGGCAGCTGGGCTAACGGCACAGAGGCTGGGTGGGGGCTGCTGATTGTGGGCAATGGGGTCCACGGAGATTCTTAAGCAGGGCTGTGAGTTTTGATATACTGCAGAATAGTGGAAGGGCGGATACAGCCAGGGTAGATGAAAAGAACTCAAACAAGGTCAGGGGCAGAACCATCAGGCCTGGAAATGAGTAAGGCGGAAGAGCTAACAGGAGGCTCCTCCTGAGCCCCAAGGTGGTACAGGTGCCTCTGTCTGATGTGTGGCACCCTAAGGGTTTAGAGAGGAGGAGGGGTGACTCTGATCGATGTTGGCCAGAGGGTTTTTTAGGACCATCCTCCGTATGGGCAGAGTGGAATACAGAAGAAGGGTTGGTGGTTGATGGCGCTGGGTAAGGGTTCTGCAGGGAAGAACTTTCAGGAGACCAGCAGTAAAGGCCGTGGGACAGTCAGTGATGCGGCATGGCCGACAATGCCACTACCGTCCCTCATGCTCACATGCCCGCTTCACCCCCACCCCTGCAGCCCTGCTTACCAGCGGTCAGGGAAGTCACGCTGCCCATCTGGGTGTCCACAACAAACAGGTCCTACAGCAGAGAAGGCCATGTGTGGCACCACATCTAAGAGCCCTAGGCACCCCTCATCTGCTCTTTGCCCAACGGGGCCCCTGGGTTGAAATCCCAGCTGTATCACAAACTGATAGGTAGCCCTGAGCAAGAGAATGTCTTTTCAAATTGGTGGTAAAATATCATCACTAGGAAGACCAAGTGATATGTAAAAGGGCCGTAGCATTGCGGGTGTCTACCTCATCTTTAGGGTGAAGATTTGGCCCTATTTCCATTAGCTGTTCCTCTCGGGTGCTCAGGGACGATCTGCCCTGATGAACATCCCCTTCTCTCTAAGGAGGGGTTGCACTTTTGCCTCAGGAGTAAAAGCCAGAGGTTCTAATAGGAGGCACCAGGGCAACCAGGTCCTGAAGGAGAAGAGAGTTGGCAACAGGGACAGGTAAGGTCTTACAGAGCTAGGGGGAGCTCGTGGCTGGACATCCACCCAGGGGTCTGCATGTGCCTGGGGCTCCCAGAGGATGTCACGGGAGCGGGGTCTTGACAGCTGGGGCCTTGTACCTGCCGGCTGCGTTGAGCAGAGTCAAAGACCACTCTCTGGCTGTCAGCTGACCAGCATCCCAGAGGAAGCAGAGTGCAGTAGATCCCAGAAAAGTCCTCTGCAAAGATGGGAGGGCTGGGGTATCACATCCAGGAGTGGAGGTGTGGGGGCTCCTCAAGCCTATGAGGCAGGCAGGGCTGTTGGGGAATTCACCCAGAACCCTGCAACTTGAGGCAGAAAGGGAGTCCCACCCAGGGGAGCCTCATGGGGGATAATGAGCTGCTCAAGGAAGGAGCACAGGCTTCTGAGGACCCAGAAGAAAGAGAGACTGAGAAAAACAAGAGACCTTCACATCCTTGGGATGGTCCAGGGTCCCAGCAGAGAGCTATCTAAGAGTATAGCTGAAGCCTTTTGG